AATAAAGATCAGCATCGACGGTTTGGCCAGGTTTCAGCACTTCACAATGCACCAATCCCTTGAAGTTCCACCAGCAACAGAGCATTATCTTCTTCCCATGAATATCAGGTTTGGGAGTGGTTTGAGGGGCCTGGTCAGCAGATAGCCATTGATTTTTGCGTTTAACGTTCTCGTAGTTGATCCACGTTTCGTCAGAAGTCAAAACCTTATGAAAAAAGTCGTTTGATTTACATTTTTGTAGCAAAATTGAGGCGACATTTTGTTGCTTTGGGCCAGTTCGTGAGGAACCCATTTTCCAACTCGATTCTTTTCCCAAGTTTGTGTAAATAGTTTTTGATTGTCGTATGGGATACTTCAAATATTTCTGCCAACTCACGAACGGTGAGTGTTGGGCAATCTTCAATTAAGGCGAGCAAGTCATCGTCGACCACTTCTGGAGGATGTCCTTAGTGTGGCTCGTCTACGAGGCTTTCATCGCCGCCTTGGAATCTTTGAAACCATCGTTGACATTGCCGAATGTGTATACTTTCCTCTCCAAAAACAGTGATGATCGTGCGATGAGATTCAGCTGGTGATTTTCCTTGTTTAAAATCGTAGAACAATGCAGCTCGAATACGGAATTTTTTGTCCTCCATTTTGTGCCAAAAAGCAAATGATGAAATTTGGAGCACTGAATGTTATTTATGTAGACATCTTTTACTTTGTATATATGCAAAAAAGAGGGAAGAAATGGCGCTTGAAATTACAAAAAACATGTTAAGTAGTGACGCGTCATTATTAAGTTGCCAACCTAATATCTATTGAGTTGGTGAATTGAAAACTGCGGGACTTTAAAACTAAAATTTACTTCAACACAAAAACCATAAATTCATTCGAAATGATTTCCATTATTATTGACGACTTCTGCCCATTTTATAGGCAATGTTGCGGATTCCTCTTTCTTCGTAGGGTTTTGGTTTGTGTGTGAGACAAGTGTGAGACTCAAAAATCGAGGACTGGAGACGTCAGCTGTCAGCCCAGTTTGAGCACTTTCTTCAAAAGAAACCCATTTTGGTGTCAATGGAAAAGTTGTAGAGAATCAAAAATCAAGCTTATAGCCAAATTTCCAAAAAGGTACACTTAATAGTTTCGCTTAAAATGCAAGTTTTGTGAAAATTCGTAAATTTCGCATTTCTTGAAAACCAGTTTTTGAATCGTTCTGAAAATTTGGATATAAGCTTGATTTTTGATTCTCTACAACTTTTCCATTGACACCAAAATGGGTTTCTTTTGAAGAAAGTGCTCAACCTCGACCCCCCTTTTTCTGGTCTCTTTGAATTCGGCTCTCTACGGGGCGCCTCCAGAAGGCCTTTTCTCCGGGGCCTACGGGGCCTTTTCTCATACGCCAACCTTCCGTTTCCTCTAAAAGCCCCCACAGTTTCTTTTTTAATCGAGTTATTAAATTCTGGAACATGTTCGTGTTCTTGTTCGGTTCTTGTTCTTGTTCTTGTTCTTGTTCTTGTTCTTGTTCGTGTTCTTGTTCGTGTTCGTTTCCCTCATGTTCTCCTCATGTTCGTGATATTCCCACCTTCGCTAGATTTAAAGCCGCAATTTCGGGAATTTGATTTGACTGCTCTGTGATTCTTTCTTGAGGTATCTATTTATTTTTGGGTGTGCTTTGAGTGGTGGTCCCGGGTAATTATTTTGATTTGATTTTGTTTTGATTTTGTTTTGTCGCTATTCAACTGAATAAAGAAATATTAAGCTTTATTAATAATAAAGCGTATACGCGATTGTCAATGTGCATTTGTTGCTTTTCAAAAGCACAAGAGTGGCAGAGAAAGGTCAGAGAAAGGTCAGAGAAAGGATGGCTAGAGTGCAACCACCACCAGCACAAGCAAGTCGAAGACTTCGAACCAGGAAAAACCAAGATAGGAAACACTGGATGACTCAGCTAATCAGCTAATCAAACCAAAAGAAAAGATATTCAGCCAATCAGCTAATCAAACCAAAAAAAAGCTTTCTCAAGTAAAACTCGATCGAAAATTTGACATTTTTATTTCATCTTTTATTTTAATTTCGAATTTCTTTCAATTTTTTTCAATTTTTTTCAATTTTACAATTTTAAATAGCGCAAATATCTCAATTATATCAATTATTATTGGCTTTCGATTTTTTTTCCAAAAAAAACAATCACTACCTTTGCTTTTGTTTTGCCGGCTTTTCTTTATGTCACACGGGGAATTTGGAGACGATTTTTTTTGAGATAAAAGGTCTTGCAAACAAACAAGCCCCTCAATTCATTCATTTTCATTCACACTTAATAAATTTTGCAAAAAAACCCCAGTTGACTTATCGTTTAATTCAAAAAATTTCAAAATTTTTTAATTTTTAAAAAAATTTGCATTTATTTTCATTGATTCGTCTTTTTTTGGAAAACTAGAAATTAGCATTTAAAGAATAGATTTAAGGAAAAAATTTGTCGAAAATTTTCATTCTTTCCATTTCAACATTTTTTCTTCATCTCTTCAATCAATTTGGTGAGTTTTTTTTTGTTTTTTAACTTTTCTTAACTTATTTTGATTGTTTTGTTTGTTTTGATTGATTTTAGCTTTCATTTAATCTTTTAAAGCTTAAAATCGTATATTGGACAGTGTTTGAGTCAAAAGTTGTTCAGAAAAAATGCTTTTTCATCGAAAATGAAACAATTTTTCGCTCAAACAACTGCCAATCGTTCAATTTTAGCTTTGATTTAATCATTTAAACCTTAAAATCGTATATTGGACAGTGTTTGAGTCAAAAGTTCTTCAGAAAAAATGCTTTTTCATCGAAAATGAAACAATTTTTTGCTCAAACAACTGCCAATGGTTCAATTTTAAGGTTTTTTTTTGTTTCTTTAACTTTTCTTAACTTAATTTGATTGTTTTGATTGATTTGTTTGATTTTAGCTTTGATTTAATCATTTAAACCCTAAAATCGTCTAATGGACAGTGTTTGAGTCAAAAGTTGTTCAGAAAAAATGCTTTTTCATCGAAAATGAAACAATTTTTTGCTCAAACAACTGCCAATCATTCAATTTTAAGGTTTAAAACATAAAATCAACTCCAAAATCAAAAAAAAAACAATCAAAATCAATGAAATAGCGAATTTTTCACGTTTAAAAGCGAAAAAATAAAGGAAATTTTTGCAAATTTAAGCAAATTTTGAAATTTAGCGAATTTATGATGTAAATTTGAAAATTTATCGCTTTTTTCTTAAAAGACAAATTTTGACAAACAATCCAGACTAATGAATGCCTTTTCGTCAAGATAAAGGTTCAAAAATGAGTAAAAAAAATGACGTGAGAATGGCGAAATTCCGAAATTCAGCAAAACAGGCAAACAAATTTGCCGGAATTGCTAAAATTTCACTCTTTTCTTGAGAAAAATGTTTTTTTTTTTAAAATTGGATTAGAGTCAGAAAGTTGGACTTTATATATGTCGAAGTCACTTTCCACTTACTCTCTCAAAGAAGCCAATTTTCCCTGCCCAAGTGAGATGGATAACTTTCGGCTTTCTGCAAGCTTCTTCTCGTTTTTCTCGTTTTTCACCAGAGAACAGAAGAAATGGAGAAAAAGAGGGGAAATGATTAAACTTTGTTGTTGGAACGGAATCGTAGTGCGCATAAGTGATGAGCAGTTGTTGGAAAAAGCTAAAGCGCGTTTTCTATAAAGTAAGCAGGTAGGCTAGGTTGGCTGGCTTTTCTTGACCTGGACAAGCACACGAACGCCTTTAGTTTCAGTTTTTCTTTTAATCTATAACCTAGGTCATAGAAAAACGTGAACTTCACAAAGTTTAGCACTAATTCCATTTGCTCACTTTGTGAAAACCGTTTAACGAACAACAGAAATTCGAAATTCGAAATATAAACTTCAAAGCAAAATGAGTGAAGCTCTGAATTTTGGTTTCATTTTTGAATTTCATATAAATTTTAAAATCAAAAATCCAGGATAGGCTAATTTTCGTCATTTTTATTTGCGCAACTCAATCATAACTTTCTTCTAAGTGGACGAATCTTTACGATTTTGCTTTTATTTTGTAGAGCTCAATAAGTGCAACGCAATGACATCAAAATCATGAACATTTGTTGCACTTATTGAGCTCTACAAAATAAAAGCAAAATCATAAACATTGGCCCACTTAGAAGAAAGTTATGGCAAAAAAAAAAATTGCGGAAATTAGCCTACCCCCACTAAATTCATTGCAGTTTAAACGTTATAAATTTAAGCCAAATTTGATCTTGAATGATTTGATGCGGCTTAGGCTTGATGAGTTGCGCAAATAAAAATTTCGGAAATTAGTCTACCCTAAAAATCGAAAAAGTTATAAATGACAAAAATGTGAAAAAAGAAAAGGCATAAAATGAGTTAAACTTTTCAAAAGCAAAAGCAAATAAATCTCGGTTAAATACCCGTTAAAAGTTTCGCGTTTTTCCCCAAAGTTAATCAAGTTTTGCAGGCTGTTAAATGTTCTTTTTTTTTTGGTGCTGTTAAACGATTCAAAATTGCCTATGCCTAAATAGCCTAAAAAAAATTGCCTAAACTTGCCTAAACAGCTGCAAACTGAAATAGAAAAAAATTAAAATGCAAAAAAGACTGACCGCAATTAGATTTTCAATTATAAGATGAAATCATGAACTTTGAAATTTGGCTTTTTAACTTTGAAATTTAAAGGAAATTTTGGCTGATTTTTGGCGAAAATCAAAGAAATATGCATTAAAATTGATGTAAAAGAAATGAATTTGAAAAATTCGCACTAAAAGCTTTCACTTAGCTCACTAAAAGCTCTCACTTAGTGATTTTTTTGGATAGAAAATAATTTTAAACGACCCGGAAATAGCGCAAAACTTTTAATGGGAAAATGGCTTTTCGATGATTTTATAAAGGGAAAAAATGAAAGGAAATTTCCCTCGTTTAGTCAAACCAGGAAATAATCATTTACCTAACTTCTTTCTTCTCTTTTTAGGAAGTGAATTGAAGTGAAATGGGCTCTTCTCGTTTCCCATCATCTTCATCGCCGTCATCATCGAAATCGTCGGCCTCTACAGCATCCACGTCGTCGAATGGAAATTACTCAACGCTCCGCAAAGCGATTGATGATGAGAAAAGGTGAGAGCAGAGAAGAGTGGAGGCTTTATCTTGGGAATTCTTGATATCTTGACCTTTATTCAGGTCAAGGGCTTTATGTTCTGGGAAAGGTGTGTGAATGAGATTGAAAAAAAAGTCTTGTTCTTGAGATTCCTTGGTCATCTTGAGCTTTCTTGGTCATCTTGAGCTTTTAAACAACTTTTTCAAGTCAAGAGAGAAGCTGCTTTTAAGCTTTTAAGCAAGAGAGGAAAAGTTGTTAAACAAGAAAGGAAAAGCTATTAAACAAGAGAGGAAAATCTGTTAAACAAGAGAGGAAAAGCTTTTAAACAAGAAAGGAAAAGCTTTTAAACAAGAGAGGAAAAGCTTTTTAAACATTAGAACTAGAATCATTGAAAAAGCTGATCTTTTCATTCTTCTTGACCCTGAGCTTAATATCATTTTTTAGGCAAAGCTTTAGATGCAAAAAGGTGTGAAAATTGACAAGAAAACTTGAGCTTTTTTAAAGCCAGAAGAGTTCTCATCTATTGCGAGATTCTATTTTTAACTATGCAATCAGATTGGAGATCTTGATTGGAATTTTTTTTGACTTTTTTGACCTTTCGAAGTTGCGTGTTCACTTGCAATCTTTTGCTTGAGAAAATCCAGAGAATCTTTGACCTTCTAGATTGAAAAATTGAGCAAATCTTTTTTACTTTTAGCTTTTAGGCGATTCTTTAATGTCAAAATGGGCAAATTTTCTCTTTTTAGCCGATCTCGTGGCTCGAGTCTTTCGAAAATGAAACAAGAAAAGCATCAAAAAGAACACCACGAGAGAAAGGGAAAGAAATGTCATGAAAATTGTTGCGAGAAGTGTGGTAAGTTAGGAGATTTGTGAAGATTTGAAGCTTATAGCAGTAAGATAAGGGTGAAAAGACTTAGCTTGATAAGTTAGCTGTTAGCTTAATTTTATTCTCATTTAGGTTATCCGTGCAAAACCGAGAAGAAAGACGACAAGAAAGGCGGTTCGAAATGCAAGTCGCTTGCCGAGATCGACCGATACGAGTATCGAGTGAAGACGGAGTTCGAGGTTACTTTGGGTGACTCTAAATCAAACGTTTCCTTTTAGATCTCAGGCGTTGGATCGATCCCTGTGCTCAAAGGTGATCCGAAATGGTTGGCTGAGAAAGTTCAGGTACTTTTTTTTGGCTTTAACCTAGATTTAACCCTTTTGTTCAGTGTTTCATCGCTGAAAAAGCCCGTTTAATGACACCGGCCGCCATCTACATTTGCAATGGAAGCATTTTTGAGGCCGACGAGCTGCTGGGTGTGCTGAAGAAACAAGGTTAATTGTTTGAAATCGAAATTTTAAGTCGATGAGTTTCTTTTAGGTGTGGTCGAGACGCTGACCGCGTATCGGAATGTTCACCTCGTGCGCACTGATCCCGAAGATATGGCACGAGTCGAGAAAGCCACCTACATCACGCACAACAGCATTGAGGCTATCGTTTCCGGGTTAGAGATGAATTTCTTGTGAGCATTTTTTTGGCCTTTCTGTTCAGAGGAGAATCGTCGAAGTCACAGCTCGTCAATTACATGCATCCGACGACACTGGAGACCGAGTTGGACGTGCGCTTTCAGGAATGCATGCGAGGAAGAGTCATGTGAAGATTTGATGATTTGAACTAAAGTCCTATAGTAGTATTTGATCTAAAATCAAATACTGACTCCTCAGCAATGCATTTCTTCTTCCAGGTACGTCATTCCCTTCTCGATGGGCCCGGTGAGCGGAGAAAATTCGATGAACGCCGTACAATTGACCGACTCGCCTTATGTGGTCATCAATATGCGAATGATGACAAGGTGAGACAGGACAACTAATGAGATTATGTAGATTCTTTTTCTCATTCAGAGTTTCCTCTTCGGTGTGGGACTCGATCGGCGATTCCGGCTCGTTTGCTCGTCTCATTCATTCGATCGGTGTGCCTCGTCCATCATTTCGTGTACTCAAACAGAATGTACCGTTATTCTTTCAAAGTTACGAGTAGTCAAGAGTTTAAATTCTTTTACAACAATTCCTTTTAGTGGCTTTGTGCTGTTGAAAAGATGCTTATTGCACATCGACTTGAGGAAAATGAGGTGGCTTTTGGTTTTTTTTTGACCGCTTTTTTAACCGTTTCCTTGTTCAGGTGTGGAGCTTTGGAAGTGGATATGGAGGGAATTCGTTGCTGGGCAAAAAGGTGGGCAATCTTTTGTGGAAGCTTTTTTGAAACGCTATGAAATGCTTTTAGGCTTTATCGTTGCGTCTCGCCTCGTGGAAAGGCAGAAAAGAAGGATGGTTGGCTGAACATGCGGCCGTGCTTTCGATCACTGGTTAGTGAGCGATTTTTTTTTACTAGATTAGGCATTCAAAGATAAAATCTGACCAAATAAGGCGGCTAAATTCATTCCTAGTTTGTCTCCTTTTAGATCCATCCGGCCGTGAATCGTTCATCACCGTGCACGCTCCGTCGGGTGGTGGAAAAACGGCGTTCGCTTTCTCGGAGCCAACGATTCCCGGATGGAAAGTGAGTTGTTGTCGTTGTTGACAACAACAACAACGACAACAACGACAACAACGACAACAACAACGACAACAACAACAACAACAACAACAATTCGTTCTTGTTGTTGTTGTTGTTGTTGTTCTTGTTCTTGTTCTTGTTGTTCTTGTTGTTCTTGTTGTTCTTGTTTTTTTGGCTTTAAGTCACTCTTTATTAATTCAGATCAAAATTCTTGGCGATGACATTGCCTGGATTCGGCAGGAAAAAGATGGACGGCTTTATGCGATGGCTCCAGAGTAAGTGTTTTCAAAGAAAATTAGTTTAGCTTGATTTAGAAATGGAATGTTCGGCATTGCGCCTGGCCTCGATCCGAAAAAACATCCAGCTGCGATGAAGGTGTGAATTAATTGGATTTGTTGATAATTGCTTGTGTTTAGATGCTTGAACAGGACGCCCTTCTTGTCAACACCGCCTCGACGAGCACCGGGAAAATGTTTTGGCGAAGTGAGTCGATTCATTTGAAAGTAATTTGCTGTTTTAGATGGCATGGAGTTGAGTGAGAAGGAGACAGTTCGTGATTGGCAAGGACTCGAGTGGACATCAGCTGTTACACAGTTTGGAATCAAGGCCTTTTTGCTTTAAATGCCATCTTTCAGATCACCCGCTCATCCGAACGCTCGCTTCACGGTTTTCATGGAAAAATATCCGAATGTGCATCCGTTGTGGGATTCGCCGAAAGGAGTGCCGCTGACTGCGTGGGTTTGGTAAAGAGATCGGTCAAAATCTCATGTTTAGAATGATTTTCTGCTCGCGACGCGATGATGCTTACCCGCTTTGCGTGGAGACGGACGACTGGGATGAGGGAGTGACGATGGCGGCCGCGATTCGAGCTGTAGCAAGTGCTGGAAGTGGACGAAAAGGTTTGAATAGGAATTTCAGGCTCATTTACTTTTCTCCTCCAGATTCCCCAGCCTCTTCACTGCACAACGATCCGATGGGAATGCGCCCGTTCTTGGCCTACAATTTCGCTCACTACCTCAAGCATTGGATCGATGTGGGACGATCGGCTACAAAGGTAAAGAAAGCTGATTTTCTTGATCTTTAACTTCTTTAGCCTCCAAAAATCTTCCATGTGAACTGGTTTCGGAAATCGAGCGACGGAAAAGCTTTGTGGCCTGGATATGGAGAGGTCTTTCTTGGGAGGAGATCATCATTTTGCTTTGTTTAGAACATTCGCGTTATCGAGTGGATCTTGAAGCGATGTGCGGCACAAAATGGACAACCTGGACAAGCAACGGCTCTATCGGGGTCTGACATAACTGCTGCAACAGCCATAGCACCTGCTGCCACGGATTCTGCTCCTGCTCCAGTGATGAAAGTGAGCTTTTTAAGCGGATTTTGATCGTCCTGGATAATTTTGTGGTTAATTTTTCATATCAGATACTTTAGGAGTACTTGGACGTAACAATTCCAACGGAAAACCCATCGTGTCCTCCAACCGCCGCAACAAAATCCGCTCAAATCAAGGTAAGTCTTGAATTTGATCACTATCTACGTCTTTCTGTTTAGACTAAACCATGTGCCAGCGGAAATGCGCTCAAAGTTCCTGGTGGATACATTCCGAAGATGATCAATGCTCAGGTTTTGTTGATTTTCTTTGATCGTTATCAATTCCCCATTTTTCAGGGTCTCGATGCTGCCCAGATTCAACAGGTTTTAAGCTATGATCGTCAGTTTTGGAAAGATGAGGTTGGTTTAAAAGAAATTGACTCTATTTCTGAGAGAGCTAATTGTGAAATTTTCTTCTTTAGGTGGCTTACATGAGGAAATTTTTCGCCAACGAGATGGGCCTTGAGACACCAAAAGAGGTGGGAATTGGGATTTTTGTGAAAATTTAGTTGTTATAAAGCTAGAATCTTGAATTTTGGTGATAAAGTGATATTGAATTCTTTGATATTTGTTAATTTTTCTTATTTTCAGATCCTAGCTGTTGTCGAGAATTTGGAGAAACAACTCGCATAGAATGGATTTTCTCCTCATTACGTCATCGCTTTCACCCTAAATCGATGTGCCTCTCGTTTCTTTCTTTTTATTGCTTGTAGATATTTGTGCTTTCCACTTTTGTGTACCATTCATCCATCAATTGCTTATTGCATTTCTCTCATTCACTCGTTCATTTCATTTCTCCGTTTTTTTCTTTGAGGACTTTTCCTCTCTCTCTTCCCCTCGTCTCCTCGTTTCTTTCAATTCATTTTCGTTTTTTTTTTGTGAGAATCAACTTGATAATTCTTCGTGATTTGTACAAATGATAATAAAATAATAAAGTAAAATCGAGATTTTGAAGGAATTCAAGCTTTTTAATAGCACAAATTTTACTTGAAGTGCTCACCGTAATACCTCTAATAGTAGCGCCCCCCCCCCCTCATAATGACGGGGTATTGCCGCGTAGTCTAACTTTACACGCTTCGTACTCTGTGCTGCTTTATGCTACAGTTTGCGCTTGGGTGTCAATTGATAGCCCTTGAAATCTAGTATTTTTTGGTATCAAAGGAGTAGTTGGGAAAAATCTAGCGGCTGAGAAAAAATGATTTTCTAAAAAGAAGCTAGACTACGGGACTTTGCCAACAAGGATTCGAAATCCCGAAGTAGTTCGATGTTAGACTGTACGGGGGAGGAGGGCGCTACTATTAAAAGTATTACGGTAGCCGTTAGAATTAGATTACGGCAAAAAAAAAAGCCGAACAACAACTCCAACAGTTTATCACTTTTAAAAATTAAATTTCTCTTTTGTTTTGAAAGCGGAAATTTTGTTTTGATAATCGAGAATCGGTGTTTTTGGTTTCGAACTCTTGTTGGTCAAGTCTCAGAGAAGAACGAATGAATAAAGACAATTATTAATACAATCTTACAATCTTCTCATTTTCCCCGATTCGATTCTCTTTTCGGGATCGCCTCTGGGAAAACGGAAAGGATCGCTATCGTTTTTCGCTGTCGATGTTTTTTCTTTCTCTCCTTTCTCTTTCTCTTCTTCCTCTTTCTCTTCTTCCTCTTTCTCTTCTTTCTCTTTCTCTTCTTCCTCTTTATCTTCTTCCTCTTTCTCTCCCCTACCGCATTCTCTTTCCTCTTTCCCCTCCATTTCTCAGTTTTGACTATCTTTGATCATTTTCTTTTTTTGCTCTCTCTCTCTTTTTCCTTTTTGTACAGTTTTTTTTGTCCCGATTACTTGCTTCCAATCGATCCCTTACATTTTTCCAAACGACTTTTTTTTTGTTTCTATTCAATGTTTCCTCTCAAAAACACTCCTTTAATACCATTCTTTGCCATTTTTTTTCAACTTAAAATTAGTCAAACTTTAAAAAGCAGAATTTGGATCTCTAGAAATGATCCACTAGCTTTCTTTTATAAAAAAGCAAAAGAATTTGCGCAGGCCGGGAATCGAACCCGGGTCGCCCGCGTGGCAGGCGAGCATTCTACCACTGAACCACCTGCGCGCTGGGAAGCAAGGGGAAATTGTGGATCTATGAACGCTCGGCTTCTCAAAAGCTCGGTCGAGATCGTCGAGATTTTCAGGTTTCATCACCATCAAAAATTTTTTCTCGACCTTGTTTTCTTCTATTCCTGGTCGTCCACCATTTCCGGTGGACTCCAATTTTTCCTTAGCTTTCTCTTTTTTTTTCACCTTTTCACCTTTTTAACCAGCTTTTTCTCATTTGTTGAGTGAAAAGTGTTTTCCCTTTTTTGAAATTTAAAAATAGCACTTTTCTTGTTGTTGACCAGATCTTTATGGCCATATAAAAGAAGGGTTTTTCGTTTTGAAAACTCAAAAAAATTCACTATTCTTGCTATTTCTCCAAATCCTGAACCCGAAATTACTCGAAATTCTCGAAATTCCCGATTCAACTTCCTCTTGAAAAAAATGGAAATCTTTGAGCGAAATCCGCTGAATTTACATGGAATCCCGATGGAATTCCTTGAAAAACGCAAAAATCCGCCGCCTCTACGCAGAAATTCGTACAACTACGTTCTTCGTGTACTCTACCCGCAACTAGACGAGTTTCTAAGGTTTGATCCAGGAAAGCATTGCTTTTAATATCGGATCCTGTTGATCTGGAATGCACATCGCATTTTGAAAATGATTCCCATTTAAATTGAAGCACTTTAAGTTGTTCGACTCTTTACCACTAGACTGGCTCTCTCTTACGGATGTGCTTTGTGCTTTCGGGTAAACGCACGCCTTCTAGTGCACGCAATTTTCCATTTATCGAGAAATAAAGATGTCAATGCGCTAGAAATGATGCGTTTACAGGCATTTCTACTAACAATTGTAAGCACAGAGTGATCATTGGGTTAATTGTAAGTTGTGCTTTCTCTTTCTCTCTCTTTCTTTCTCTCTTTCTTTCTCTCTTTCTTCCTCTCTTTCTTTCTTCTCCTCGAAAATGCCTTATCTATTCGGTAAACAATGCTATCTTTTTCTGTCTTCCTGCTGAGAGTGGTCAATTTTAATTTCCAAATTTTCAGCGCTACAGTCAAAATTTACAGAATGGCCACCCCGTCGATTCAACTCTCATCCGGACACTCGATTCCAGCTCTCGGATTGGGCACATGGCTCTCGAAACCGGGAGAGGTTCGTTCTTTAAATGAAAATCAATCTAATCGAACTTCCTCAGGTCGGTCAAGCAGTCGATATGGCGTTGAAAGCCGGCTATCGTCACATCGACTGTGCTCACGCATACGGAAATCAAAAAGAGATCGGCGAAGTGTTTGCTAAAGTTTTCGATGGACAATTGGAGGTTTGTTGATGTTCTTTGCGCTTCCCAGAACAGTCGATATGGCGTTCACTCTTCGATTTCAGCGATCCGATGTTTTCATCACGTCAAAAATCTGGAACACTTTTCACTCGTACGAGAAAGCGAAAGAAGCAGTGGATATCATTTTGGGGGAATTGCAATTGGGTGAGTGTTAAAGTCGACTTGTTAAAGAAACTCAAAAATTGACCGTTTCGTTGAAGTTTTTACACTTTAAACATTAAATAACAAGACGTTTACATTGATTAAAAATCGATTACCGTATTCTCTTTAATAGTAGTGCACTTTCTAATAGTATTCCGGTCCAGGAGGGGGTTGAAAAAATTGTAGTGCACCCATGAAAATTTGAAATTTTTGAATTTGCTGGTGCTTCTTTTTGATCCTAAACCTTTTTGACTGGATATCTTTATTTTTATGTGACATTCTAAAGCTATTCAAGCAAGCAAAAGTGAGGCTTTTTTTAAAAATTTATTATATTAACTATTCTTCACAATGAAAAAGAAAAGCAAAAAAAATCTAAATCTAAAATTGTTGTGCAAAGTGTAAAAAAAAATCTTTTTTTGTTGTTTCCACACATTGTTTTAGTGGCACATTAACTCAAATTTGCTTACGAGGTTCGCGGAGAGCTAATAGTGCACTCTTTAATAGGGAGGTAGTCAAATGAGCGCCAAAAATTGAGCGCCAATCATTTCAGCGCCAATCATTTCAACGCCAATCATTTCAACGCCAATCATTTTAGCGCGCGTTCATTTTAGCGCGCGTTCATTTCAGCGCCGCACCAAAAATGACTGGAAAACATTCATTTCAGCGCCGAATCAGCCCATTCTGTATATGCATGTTATTTTTGCATTTTCTGCATGATCTCAAAGTTTTTACTGTATGTTTTTATCTTTGAAATGATTGGCGTTGAAATGATTGGCGCTGAAATGATTGGCACTCAATTTTTGGCGCTCATTTGACTATCTCCCTATTAAAGAGTGCACTATTAAACATAAAATCATCTAAAGATAAAAATAATTCTTGGCAGCAAAATAAACCAAAATAAATCATGAACAAAACGTTACTTTGACTCAGAGTGTTCCTTTGTCTCGCCACATCTTGCGCAGTTCACGAGCCTAAGCAAAGAACTATGTTAACTGTAAGCAAATTGTAAACGAAAACGGCAAGAAACGGTGAAAAAGCACACTATTGGGGGAAAATATCATACAACTAGCAAATTTACACATTTTCATCAAAAAAACCTTAAATACGAGCTAATCTAACAATTTTTTCCGCGCATTTGATGCCTACTACCGTGCCCTAGGTCAAATGAGTGAAAAAAAAAGTGTAAAAACAGAAGCAAAACCCTAAAAAACATGCAAAAGCAGCGTAGAAAGCAAAAATATTAAAATTTAGTCGCGCTGAAATCAACGTTTTCCAGTCATTTTTGCCCCGGCGTTTAAATGAACGTTTTTAGGCCTTTTTAATTTGGCGCTCAAATGATGTTTTCCAGTCATTTTTGGCACGGCGCTCAAATGAGTGGCGCTGAAATAAGCGTGAGCCAAATCGTTGGCGCTGAAATGATTGGCGCCCAATTGTTGGCGCTCATTTGACTACCTCCCCTTTAATAGTAGTACAAGGTCGAGAAAAAATTTTTGATGGTGATGAAACCCGAAAATCTCGACGATCAACCGAGCTTTTGAGAAGCCGAGCGTTCATAGATCCACAATTTCCCCTTGCTTCCCAGCGCGCAGGTGGTTCAGTGGTAGAATGCTCGCCTGCCACGCGGGCGACCCGGGTTCGATTCCCGGCCTGCGCAAATTCTTTTGCTTTTTTTATAAAAGGAAAGCTAGTGGATCATTTCTAGAGATCCAAATTCTGCTTTTTAAAGTTTTGACTAATATAATTAAAATATAATTAATAGTAGTATTGCTCTCTAATAGTATTGCAGTCCGAGAGGGGATTGAAAAAATAGTATTGCGCACTATTATTAGAGAGAATACGGTAGATATGTCGTAGCCGATTATGAAATTCATAATCGGCTACGACATATATAAAACAGAAGAGACGTCCGTCTATCTGTCATTGGCAAAAAGGGGCGGGGCTTAGATTGTGTGGAAAACGTCAAAGCTGTCTATCTGTCAAAGCGTCGCGCATTGCGTATTGCGTACTGCGGGCCAGGAGGAGGTTGAAAAAAATTGTAGTGCGCACTACTATTAGAGAGATTACGGTAAACACCAATTTGAAGTGATGAATCGAAAAATACTCTTCTACAGAATGAATCAAAGTCGTTGAAGTGATTTTTTGGAGTATCGCTTTATCAAAAGACCAGCATTGCTTCAGAAATTGTAAAAATGATTACCAGAAGCGAATTCCCTGTGTTGAAAAAGGCCGTCATGCAAATTTCAGCGCAAATTGCCCACATGGCGCAGTGGATAGCGTGCTCGTCTCACGCCTCACATGACCCGGGTTCGATCCCGGTCAGCGACCACCTACTTTGACTTTTTGCAAAAATTTTTTTTTAAAGGCACAACTAGATGAAATTTCAATAGATACGTGTTTCAGCGTTTTTTAAAATACTCAAAGGGGACGTGCGTAGTGCGCGCACAGACGGACAGAGATTATTTTTTTATGTAGAGATACAGTCATGGACAAAAGTCTTTACCCCTACCGAGGTCAGCTTTTAAAACGCAAAATTTTTCAACTTTTTAACAAGTTTTAAAAATTGTTTTCAAAGTATTTTGTAGCATTTTTACTCTAGTTTTTATATCCCATAACCAAAAGAAACAACGATTTATTTTAGGCAACAAATAACGACGTTAACAAAAAAAAACCCTCAAAACAGGTGGACAAAAGTCTTTACCCCTTTTCAACTTTTTATTTTCTTGCTGTTGTTTCGTTATTTTTCACATAACAATGCTTTATTATTTTTTAATTCTAGTGATGCCTGGAGCCTATCTGACCACTCCCGACAAAGAAAAGATTGTGGAAGCAAGGAAACGAGGCGACAAAGTAAAGGATGTTGCGAGCGTATTCAAATGCAGCCCCGAAACGGTGAAAAAGCTTTGCAAGAAAGAGAAAACGACTGGAATTCTTCACCGAGCATTCAAAACAGGTCGTTCACCCGTCACAACACCAAGAGAAGACAAGGTTCTAATTTTGGCCCACAAAAAGGATCCAAATCTTAATGCTTCCGATGGAGTCAGATTAATCAAGCATCAATTTAGCAAGGACATCAATCGAAAGACAGTAAGCAGACGTTTGATTCATGCAGGATTGATGACTAGAAGACCTGCCAAGAAGCCCCTGATGGTCGCCAAACACCGGAAGATTCGACTCGACTTTGCCAAGAAGTATGAAAGTTGGACAAGCAACGACTGGGCCAATGTCATCTTCACCGATGAATCGAAGATCAACCTTTTCAATCCCGACGGCAATCATTTGATCCGGAGACCTGTCGGACAACGATATAGCACCAAATACCTTCGTGCGACAGTCAAATTTGGTGGCGGATCAATCATGTTGTGGGGTAAGAACCTTTAACCTTTATGCCTATTGACTTTTTTTTTTCAGGGGCGATGACTAGAAGTTCACCAGGTCCGCTCGTTCTTCTCAATTCAACTTTGGACGCTCAACGATACAAGGCGATTTTGGAGAATGATCTTCTTCCATTTGCGACCACAAAAATTGGACAAGGATGGTTGCTGTACCAGGACAACGCTCCATGCCACAAGTCGCAACTGCTAATGGGACGAGTTGTTCGCCTTGCCAACGGTGGTAGAGCTCGTCTACCCGGATGGTTTCGATCGAATGGAGTTCAGCTCGTATCTGCTCCTCCCTACAGTCCGGATTTGAACGTTATCGAACATTTGTGGGCGTTTTTGAAGCTGAAATTGAAGGGAAAACGCTTCAATACCAAGATTGAGCTATGGTACTTCATTCGACACGTCTGGACAAAGATCGGTCCTCAAATTTTACAAGATTTGGTCGACTCGATGCCGAGAAGGATTCAAGCAATAATTTCATCAAAAGGAGGCCCTACCAAATATTAAAATACTCGGTTTTTTCTCACTTTTTGTTCGAGGGGTAAAGACTTTTGTCCACCTGTTTTGAGGGTTTTTTTTTGTTAACGTCGTTATTTGTTGCCTAAAATAAATCGTTGTTTCTTTTGGTTATGGGATATAAAAACTAGAGTAAAAATGCTACAAAATACTTTGAAAACAATTTTTAAAACTTGTTAAAAAGTTGAAAAATTTTGCGTTTTAAAAGCTGACCTCGGTAGGGGTAAAGACTTTTGTCCATGACTGTACTTAGCCGTTTAGTTACGTACAAACGTTACGTTGCGTACGTTACGTACATTACTTTACGTATGTACATTACGTTACGTACGTTACGTTACGTTACGTACGTTACGTTACGTTACGTACGTTACGTTACGTACGTTACGTTACGTACGTTACGTTACGTTACGTACGTTACGTTACGTACGTTACGTTACGTTACGTACATTCGTGCGTTACAGAATTTCAACTGTTCGCTTACGTGCGTCTAGGATCGAGTGTTCTAGAAAACGGGTACCCTTTTTAAGGTACTTGTACTCAAACAAGTACTCAGGTACTATCCCTTTTTCAGACTACGTCGATCTGATGTTAATCCATTGGCCGATGGGATACGAGGAGGGAGGCGAGCTCTTCCCAAGGGTAAGCGAAAGTCGATCTTTCTTTCTTGCAATCTAAGAATTTTGCAGACAGCTGACGGGGCAAAGATGCGCTACTCGAAAGAGGACTATTTGGACACGTGGAAAGCTTTAGAAGATGCGGTCAATGATGGGAAAATACGGTAAAGACTTTGCACAAAAGATTTCTTTTTGTTTAAATCTTGTTGTAGCTTGTTGTAGCTTGTTGTAGCTTGTTGTAGCTTCTTGTAGCTTGTTGTAGCTTGTTGTAGCTTGTTGTATCTTGTCGTATCTTGTTGTAGCTTGCTGTAGCGTGTTGTATCTTGTTGTATCTTGTTCTATCCCGTTCTATCCCGTTGTATCAGTATCCCGAAAAGTCTCAGCTTCTTTACCAGTATCCATCGATTTCAGCTCTCTGGGCTTATCCAATTTCAATCATAAACAAATCGAGCGACTCATCGGACACTCGAGAATCAAGCCCACCGTTTTACAGGTGAGCCAAAAAAAAAAAAAAGACAAAAAACAAAAGCATTTTAGCTAAATTTGATTCAAACGGTCGTAGCCGACCGGATAAGAGTCTTGTCTCTTAGTCGGGAGGTTAAGGGTTCAATCCTTCAATCCGGGCGACTAAAAAGATTGGTTCTTTTTCCCGTTATTATGGGTTTTTTTTTTCTTAGCAACATTTCGGCAATAGGGGTAATTTGGGGTAAAAAAATTTGCTCCGTTTTGTTGTGACTCTGTCAAATCTCTCGAATCTCGATGTCTCGTGTCAAATAAATACACTTTAAACAGGTCGAACTGCACCCATACTTTCAACAGAAAAAACTCCGCGATTTCTGCAAAAAGCATCACATTGTCGTGATCGCCTATTCGCCATTGGGAAATCCGACGAATCCTTTCAGAAAAGTTTGTTTATGCAAATTATGTTTATGCAAAAGGCACCAAAACTACCCGGTAATCCGATTGAGTTTTTTTTTTGGCGCACTTTAAGAGTACTTTAGTCGATGTAGAGTAAAGACCTTTCTAGAGTAAAGTTAATGTAAAAAAATTGGGAAACAATTTTATCCAGCTTTAATCCTTTATCCAAATTTTTTCAAACCAAATTTCTTTCAGACCGGCGACCCGTCGATTCTCACCGATGAGGTGGTGCTGAAAATCGCGGAGAGATATGGAAAAGTGAGTATAAGTGGAGATTATTTTTGGAATCTATTATAGTTTACACCCCTTTTTAAAAAGCCCCTTTTCAGTCCCCAGCTCAAGTGGCCCTTCGATGGGCGACTCAAAACGGAATCGTCGTCATCCCGAAATCGACGAGCGAACATCGGATCAAGGTGGGGAAAATACCTGAACATTACAACCATAATATTTGTCAATTACCGTCCTTTAATAGTAACTTGCCACGTAGTTGTTAAATGAATGCAGACAACTATAAATTTTCAGGAAAACGGAGCCCTCTTCGACTTTGAGCTCTCCCACGGGGAATTGGCGGAAATCGATGGTTTGGATAAGAATTGGCGAATTCTCGATTTGACCCAACGAGACGGCGACCATCCACATTTCCCTTTCTTGGAAGAATTCTGATTGTTTTCTTTTTCCATTCAATAATTTCAGGTATTTTGTCGAAAGTTGTGATTTATTCCAAACATAAATTCTTTATTCGCACAAATTGTTACACTAAATACAACGGGGAATTGGATCATTGACAGACACTGACAATGGTGAAATCACTATTTATCACAGTTGACGACAAAAAAAACACTAAAATTTCGCTACAATATCTAATCTATGTATTTACAATTTGCACAATCCAGTATCGGGAGCACTTTCCATGATCAGCTTTTGCACCTAGGAAGAGAAATGATTAGATAAAAGAATTTCCTACCAACCTCTCTGAATTGTGGATGATCGGCACCGCCGAGAAGTCCCAAAATCACACATTCGCTCGTGGTGAGCACGGCGCCGGCTTGCTTCATTTGCTTGAACGCGTACTTCCTAAACGATTAAAATTGATGTTGCAATAGATTTTCCAGGCTGTAATGCTTTATCTTGTGAAATCAAGCTTTTTAAAGCTCTAGACATGATCTACCTAAATCGTATTCCACTCGTCGCCCGTATTCCGTTACCTGTTTTCTTGTGTTCGACTGCTTGTAGCGTCCACAACCACGTGAACGTTCATCTTGTTCTCCAGCAAATCGAGCGTCGTTTGCAAGACACAAACCTGAATGTAAAAAATTACAATTAAGATTAAAAACCACATACATGTGCCTCGATCCCGAAAAGAATCACGTTTTTCTTTCCTTGCAGATGCGCAAGAGCCGGCTCGATGCACATGGAAAACTAAAACCGAATATTACACAGACAGAATCACAAAAGTTACTTTGCTCTTGTCATAAATCGGAATGTCGGGTCTTTCTTGAAGTCCAAGCTCAGGCACGAGATGGCCAAGTCCTTTGGGGTATTGCTCAGTTGCGATAGTCTAAAGAAAGAAATTATGTAAAGAAACCTGCTTTATTTTTACACCTTAAAGCTGAATAAGCTTTTAAAATCTTAAAGATCATTCACTTAAACATAATTAAACTATCCCTTGTTGCTATTAAACTAACAAATATACCTTAATGTCAAGCAACTTTGCCGCATCGACCAAACGTCGTCCAACTTGGCAGATCTCCGGGAAAAATTTGATTTGATTCCTAAACAAAAATTTTACAGAGCTAATACAAAACCGCAAACCTGAATTTCTCTTGGAGATCGCAGACGAAGAGAACCGAATTTTGCGGTGTTAGGCGGCTAATGCGACAAGCCATGCTAAAGAATAACGTTTAAACTGATAAAAATAAAATTTTTAAATCAAAAATCTAGGTATCTTTAACAAGGTGATAGCTTTGCGATCAACGAAAGGGGTGACAAATGAAGAGATAAAGTTAGTTTGATGCTGTACTAGTTAGGGAAACGCTTGAGCTTCAACGTTTCAACGCCTCATAAAGATCTTAACAGCGTACTCTGTACTTTGAGCCGTTTTGGGCAAGTTTACTACAATTTCTTGCTCGTATCAATGCAAACAGACTCGGAAAACGGCTTGAACTTTATTCGGAACGCTTCAAGCTTGTTACCAAGCAATTTACAAAGTGATCACACGTTCAAGGTGTTGTTCTCTAACTACTATAGCACCAATAGTTTTAGGAAGCAAGTTTTGAATGAAAGTAGAGCAAAACCGGGTAGCTTTTGATTAAAAACCGTCAGTCTAACGATTTCAATGATCGTTTTTCAATTTGCACATGAATTTAGTCGAAAAGAGCCGTTTAGTATAGGAAAAGATGGGGCAAAGTTCAACAAAAGCTCAAAAAAATACCTGATAGCCGAAAAACGCATCCTAAACGCAGCTTTTTTTTACGATGGAAGTGAAAACGAAAATTAAAAGACAAATTGATTTATATAGGCAAAAAGACGAAGAAAAGATATTCGGCTACTCAATTGTTGTTATCTTAACGAATAAACATTTCTGTCGCTACGCGTCTGTACAGTTGGCGATAGTGGCGATTTTTTCGCTACACTCAGTTGGTCGCTCTTCATCCCACTAGCAGAAATTTAACTTTTGGGAATTAGAGTTTGTGAAAGTTTATTGGGATTGGGCAATTCATGCGCGTTTTTACTGTTTCTGAGCAGAAGTTACATAAAATTCGCTAATGAGAAACCCCGGAGCTGAAAGTTGCGTGATTTTCCATGTATCCCCTGAAATTTTCTGATTCTAGGCCAAATCAAGCCGGTGAAGTTTTTTAATTTCTTTGTTATAGTTTTGCGCGAGTTGAGTCTCCTGCGTTTTCCCAAGTCGCAAATCAAGTTTTGAACTGAATCCTACTGCCGCTTTCGATCCCTAGCCCGTCCAGCCTAGGAACGAAAATTTCTGAGGTTCAACACGCTTCTTTTTCTTTGGCAGCTCGGTGTTTTGGCTGTTATATGTTTCTCTTCTTTAGACATCAATCGAAGATGGAGCAAATGAAGTTGCAAGGAACGCTGGAGGGCCATAATGGATGGGTCACACAAATTGCGACAACCACACGAGATGATCGCACAACTGTCATTTCATCGTCACGAGGTATACTTTGGTCTTGATTTAAGTAACATTTAACAGTGTTTGTGTTTGCAAACTGTTTTTCCAACGTGCCACTAGTTTTAAAAACTTTCTGGGGTAATTAGCTAAGCATTTACATTGGAAATCCATTGGAAGTATTTACAAACCATTCTGGGGAACTTTTATTCCAGTTCGAGCAACATTTCCGAGCCTTTAGGAGGGGTCCAATTTCCACTGGGTTCAAAGATACGGAACAGAGTTAAGAGACTGAAAACCTCAGTAACTGCTTGAAATAGCTAGAAAACAGCTACTCAAGCTTAAATAGATACCAAATTAAGAATTTACACTAGTAAAAGTAGGAGGAAAAGTAGTGCACTCTGGCTCGATAGTGGTTCGAGACGAGTTTCGAAAGACGAGTCGAATTTTAAATTTCGAGCTTCCTGTTTCAACTTGCGGAACTACTCGACGGTTGATCTGAATACAGAACCAACTTGATTGGTTTAGTTACTAATCCTATCACTTTAGATAAGACAATGATCATTTGGGATGTCGACAGCTCTTCCGTGAACGAAACTGGACACGCTGGACGACCTCTGAAGTCGCTTCACGGGCATGGTCACTTCGTTTCTGATGTGGTCATCTCACAAGATGGACAATTCGCCCTCTCTGGCTCTTGGGACAAAAGCTTGCGTCTTTGGGATTTGAATACGTGAGTTTAATGAGTGACTTAGCTTGAAGATAACGGCTTGCTTTAGTGGAGCCTCAACGCGTCGTTTTGCTTCTCACGAGAAAGACGTCTTATCCGTCGCTTTCTCAGCTGACAACCGACAAATCGTCTCTGGATCGCGCGACCGTACAATCAAGCTTTGGAACACCCTTGCTCAGTGCAAGTTCACCATTCAGGTATTGATTATTGGACGTCATTGTTGTGCAAGTTTCTTGTTAAGGAGGATTGCCACACTGATTGGGTGTCGACTGTGCGCTTCTCGCCAAACGTTCGGGATCCGGTGATCGTTTCGGCTGGATGGGATAAAGTGGTGAAAGTGTGGAATCTCGGTAACTGCCGTCTGAAGACCAATCACAAAGGACACGCCGGTTACATCAACACTGTCACCGTTTCGCCAGATGGTTCACTCTGCGCTTCGGGAGGCCGTGACGGACAAGCGATGCTCTGGGACTTGAACGAGGGAAAACATCTCTACACACTCAATGGAACTGAAACGATCAACGCCTTGGCCTTTTCACCGAATCGATACTGGTTGTGTGCTGCTGTTGGACCTTCGATCAAAATCTGGGATCTGGAAGACAAGCGTGCCATCGAAGATCTCAAGCCCGAAATATCTGGGTCAGGTACGGCGGCTCCACATTGTATTTCTCTTGCTTGGTCACAAGACGGACAAACTCTTTATGCTGGCTATACTGATAATGTTATCCGAGTTTGGCAAGTTTCTGTTCGCAAATGATCTCGTTTGTTTTTGTTAAATGAATAAAGCTTTGTTATCCTTTGAATAAATATTTATTTACACAAGAAACTGAAAGAACAAATGTGTGAGCCTTGACGCGAGGGTTTTAGTAATTATTTCACGCGGACAACTTTTAAGAAATGTCGATAATTTGGATCTGGATAGGTCTACACGAAGCAAATGAAGCGGCACTCAGTTGGTAGCTTTGACAGATTATACTGGATTAAGATGAAGAAAGATGGCAAAAAAAACCGCTGAACAATTGAATGCTGTTGAGCCGTAGTCATCATTTGTTTTTTCTTTAGTATCCTCCGGGAAGAAAAGGTCGGTGAGGGTTTGGAGGAAAAATTTTGGGATAAAATGTTTGTGGAACTAATAATTTTACGTATCTATCAGATGAAACTAGATTAAATGCGACTTTTTGCAATAAATATGCAAAATTGCATAGTTAAAGCAGTCTAGTTGACAATTTAACTGGATGTCTGTTTAAAATTTATGACCTAACTGCGATAACGTCGATCATTTTGATCGTTTTCCATTTAGGAGCTGAGCAAGCGCAAGTTCCCCTCGAAAAACATCAACCAAGCGAACAAACAACAAAATCAATTAAAGGTAGTCGAGTTTATATTGGGTAATTCGGCTGACTTATTTATCTTGTTTTTGTTTGGAAACGCGCGACCGTCGCGCAATTGGTCGAAGTCGGGATCGGCCATCGGTGAGCGGATTTTGATGAGATATTAGGCGCTTGATCGCAAGAAATCAGATCGTATTTTATACTCTTATAACATTTAAAAATGCCAAGTTTAGTTCTAATCTGATAATTAATTTTCCCCTCATTTAGTTGCGAAAGACGATCTTCGACAACGACATTGACATCGAGACGCCCGCTCAGGCCAAGGTGAAACGCCTCAACAAGATCGGCAAACAGGCACGCGTCCTTGGTGGGGGTGCTTTTAATTCCTTGCCAAGGTCCCTTTAATTTATTAATATTTTCAGGCTTTGGGGTTATTTTAAGGTGCCTAGTTTGAAACTAGGGCGGTTAGGCGGCTAGGCTCATGTTTCTTTGATTAAAGCTTCACCAGTTTCACCGAATTTAAATGTTATCAAGAATCTATAGGCCTATTTGAAACCGAAATTGCGAGAAAAACGATTCAATTCCTAAGTCGAGCTATGGTTATACATCAGAAAAATTTGGAAGGCCTGGAATTCTTGATGAATTAATTACATCGATGTCTACTCGTATTAAAGAAGTACTTTTGGCAAAAGGAGAGCCGGCAAAATATTGATTATAGCTTAATTTCCTCTTGTGTTAAAAGACTTTTGCATCACGATTTTTAGAGGTGTTTTATATGAATACTTTATTTAGAAATAAAGTGCGGAAACGACATGAAAAAAAGGTTTTTTTTTTTTAGAAATTTTTTAAAAAGAGGGTTGTGTTAAAAGAAGAATTTTGCATCACGATTTTCAGGGGTTTTTTAACAAATATTTTTTCTTGATGAATAAGTGTTGTATAGCGATAAAGTTTAGTTTAGACAATCAAAAGTTTAGACACGCCCTTGCCACGTTTCTGGCGGAAACTCGGATCGGATCCTAAAATCCGTTTTTCGGTGGATCGCATAGCGATCCGATTCGATTCGATTCGAATCCATGCCTACTGTTGACTAATGAATGTAAATTGAACCAGTTTACAGGATTACGGTAACTTTGAGCGCCTTTTATCCGCCTGTCATTTGAGTTTGGGTTAAATGGCACAACCTTTAAGCAATCATTCGCTTTTTTTTGGGCTAAATAACAAGGCTAATCCGATTCTTATTTATTTTATTTTCTCTCATCTGAACAAAGTTGTTAATCATAAGCAAAAAATAATTTTTCTTTCATTTTGAAGGTTCTAATCAATTTTTCTGAAATTTGTGCTCCAGCTATCGTACCCAAAATGCGCGGAGAAAACTTACGTAATCAATTGGGAAAGCATGACTGAAAGACGGGAAACATGGCTATCAAAACGATTTATCTATCAGTTTATTTCCTTGTTTTTGTTTATTTTTGTACATTCATCTTTTAGAGGCGTCTAATTGTGTGTATTTTCAGATAAAGATGAACTACAATTTGTTTGACTTCAATGGAACGGTGAAACGAAATCGAAATCAGGATGCAATGCTGAAAACATTGGTGGGATATTGAACTTTTTCGACAAGATTTCTTGGCGATTCCTAAAAGAAATCCGCAAAATTTGTTTAGCTTAATCAATTTGTCACTATTATTCTACATTTTGTCTTTTTTAGACGAGTCGCGACGATTTCATGCGAAAATTGGAGGCGGAACGACGAGCGCGGCAAGAAGGTATAGTTTTGAAGTCGACTTTACGCTACTCCCGGCCTAGAGCTTCACAAAAGTCATAACTAAGGTTACACAAGCTGATCATCATATAAAACTGTGGTAGAAGTTATGATATTTAGAGAAGAGCAACTTTTTCAATGTAACAATGTAATGTAACTTTTCAGCTTCACCTTTTAAAATATATTCAGCTAATGAATGCGATTTACCATTTGGTAGACTTTGAATTGATTGTTGTTTTCACAAAATCCTAATTTTTCTATTTAGATCATCAACGTGAAGGCTCTGTTCGGAGGATTCAACGCTTTTGGCGACGATATAAAGCTGTTAAGATCACTTCCAGGAAAGCGAGGTTTAAAATAATACGATTATTTCGAATTTTTCAAACTTAGAGAAGCGTTCGACCGATGCACAAACGAGGGTTCACCGGAAAATTTGTCTCACAAGGTTTTTTGGAATGGTTTTAGCAGTGAAACGACGGTTTCTTTAGATTTCCCTACTCAATTTATGCTACAAAAGCGCCGAGGACAATGAGAGATTGGTTTGGTTTCTGTTGTTGTTGACTCTGAAAACTTTCGTTTAGCTAACGCTTTGTGGACAAATGTTGAACTTGATACGAGCAAAGAAATTGGATGAGCTACCCAGTCGAAATCGACGACAATTGGGTACACTGATTTTGAAGTTCTTGCAAAAGGTTTGTGCTTGCTTGTGGCTGTAATCCAAATGTTCTTTTTGAATATAACATCAGCTTTACATTGTTAATTTTCACTTTTTAGTGGATTTAAATTCGTTTACCTTTGAAATTATAGCATTTCTATGTTTTTAATGGCTCTTATTACTTAAAAGTAAGCTTATGACTACCGTTTAAAGCAAATTAGGCCAGTAGTTTTTTTTTTAAAGTAGTACAAAGAATTTTCATGCAACGATTTCCAGGCTGGACCCGATTCTAATTTGGCGGCACCGCTTCGAGTGTTCGGCGAGCTTCTCGACTCGGATGAAATGATGAAATTAGTGTTAAAGGTGAGCGGTTTTGTTAAAAGACTGTTTGATAAGATTTTAAGCTAAATTTTAAAATCTGTTGACCTAGAAGGTACGAATTTTGAGCCCTGGTACGGTCTAGCTTTACCTGATGTAATTATAGGCTCACGAGTCCTTTTGAAACATTACTGACCAAGTTTCCTAAATCAATTTGCACCTGTAATCTTGTAAGTTTTCAGGAAAAATACATTGATTCGATGCTCCGCCTAATCGTCTTTTTCACTCCGTCAACTTCCGGAATTCATGTCGAAGAAACGTTGCCGGCTCGCTTGGAAACACTTTGTGATTATCTAATAATGCCCATTTTTAAGATTCCACAAGAAAAGTGAGTTGAAAGGTTAAATTTCTCCAAATCCTTTGCTTTAGATCAAAAATGCTCGCCTCTTTGCTGACTACATTGTGCAAAAGTGATTCTCTTCTATCGGTGATCACCGTCGTTTTGCCGTTTTTGCGGAGAATGATTGCCAAGGGAAAATGCACAATACAGGAGCTTGTAAGATTTTGTTCTAAATGCTCAACTAATTCCAATCTAGATTCAATCAAATGTGCATATCACGGTGGAGACGAAAAATGAGAGGGAGATTCTCTCGTACGCTTTCGTCTTTCTTCTGCAGGGATTCTCGATTGGTGAGTTTGTAATAGGGGCAGAGATGTACCAAGCACAAATTTGACCTGGTTGGTTCAACTGGTTCACCTTTGACTTATCCTGGTTTTAGCCCAAAAGCGAAAGTCGTTCATTGCTTATAAGTAGGCCTATCGTCTATGGAATCAGGAATTTCCGAATCGGAAATCTCGAATGAAAAGCCCGGTAGACTGGAAAGCTTAGGGGCCTTCAAAGAAAATTTTTAAAAATTGAACGAACTAGGGTAAGCCAGAAGGTTTAGGACCAGCGTTTAAAGCAAATTTCCAAGATCCATGTAAACCGCGTGTAAACTTTTAGTTTCAAGGCAAGAGTGCTTGAATTCTGAGCTTGGAAATTTGTGCTGGTACTTAGAATTAAAGTGTTTTTTTCACGCGTGTGTTTTAGATGACCTATCATTCGCCTCACGACACGACTATTTGAAGCTTATTGTCGAACGATTGGAGTTCGAGAAGCCTTCGACGAGAAACAAAGAAACACCAATGGACACCGATTTGATCAGCGATGAACAGGTAGTGATTTATTTTATGTTTTAGGTCACCTTTTACCTTCAGATCTTGTTGTTCACTCATTCATCTACGCGAAAAATCCTCTCCGGGCCGTGGTGGGTGAAATTGTGCGTGGAGGAGGGCGAAAAGGGAGATGTTGATGATATAAATGTTGTTGCAAGGCTTACAGAAGTGGCGAGCTCGGTGTGTTGTAGTTTTATCTTGATAGTGCTTTGGCCCAGTTTTGGATTTGGAATTTTTGGAACCTAACAACATTAACATTTAAATTTTAGCCAGAAACACTGCATCTTTTGGCTGGAAAAAGGGAATTCTTGCAACGTTTATGGATTTTCCTCGAATCGAATGGAGTGCAAGAGAAACTGAAGTACCAAAAGCACATGGATACATTGAAAAATGGTGAGTTTTGGGTTAAAATTAGGCCTAAATCATTGAATTTGATTGATTACAATAAAGGTCCCGTTAAGATAGATAAAAAATCTTTTCAAGTACTCCAAAACAAAATGATATCAAAGTTGTAATTATTGTTAAAACTCAACGATTAATCGTATTCTGTTGCAGGAATGAGACTCGACGTGGCCGCACAGACGACGTATCTCCCGTGTTTGTCGCTCTTCTCACAACTCTTGGCGATTTTCGTGCGCAACACCGAGGACGAGTTTTTCGTTGAGGGAAACACGAAGATGCCATTCTCGAGAGACGCTTTCATCAAAGTGGCCCGATCATTGAGGTAAATGGGCTATAAGACTATTGACGTAACAAAGCTAAGTAGGGAAAGGCAAGCACTTGCCGTGACCTTTTGGAACGAGACCAAACCCATCTTATAGAATCGGTCACGCTGAGTTCGAATCTGCTTTTAGTTTTTGCCCTCGAGGCCTGTAACTCTTGAATAGAAATTGAAGCTATTTTATATTTTTTCAGAGACGTTGTACTCGGGTTGACTGATTTGGCGTTCCCGGATGACTTGCAAATGAGAGAACACGAGAAAACGATTGAGGGAAAACAAGAAGCGCAAAGGTGGTCGACGATTTACGAGAATATGGTGAGTGAGGGAGAGGGATTCTAAAGTTGCCAATGTTTAGGTGAACCTCATACGGATCTTGCAACAGAAAGATCAGAGAGTGCACTTCTTGCCCGAAGGCCTATGGAACGATCACAACCGACAGGTGAGTGCATCTTTGGGAATTTAGAAGTCTTCTTGATCTGATGAGCACAATTGATCTAAATTTTCATTGTTTAGGTTGTCATTCAACGAACATCGATGGTAGCGGTGGGGCCAAGACGACGCGGAGCTCGCCGCCAGAATCTTCCTGCACAACCGACCTTCGACTTTGTTCGACACCTCTTTGCGAAGTGAGTTGAACTGGAACAGCAAAATAAGCTCAATAAATTGCTAGTAAATGTAGCACTATAACCCAGTAGCAGAAGTAAATAATAAGGTATAAAGTTGAAATTGTTTAGAAACTTAAATTTTGCATTTAGTCAACCGGGTGGCTCTTCCTTCGACGACGATGATGACTCCGAAGATGAGACAAGCAAGCCAATTCTCAGTGCAACAGATCTACGAAATTTGAGTATCATGAGGAGTATACCGTTTGTTGTGCCTTTCCGACAGCGAATCAAGGTACATTATTGGTCTAACGTTATGAATTTTTTTTGTTTTGTTTAGATATTCGATGAAATGTTGCTAAAGGATAAAGAAGAGCATGGCGCTGGATTTGATAATTGGGGTGAGAAATTGGGTGTGTTTTCAATCTGAGCTCCATTTTAGGCAACCCAGCCGGTCACTCAATCAGCATCTCGGTGCGACGACAGCATTTGTACGAGGACTCGTTTGACGCGCTCAGCATCAAGAATGGTTAGGGAATTTGATTTGATTCAATATTGTCATAATATGGAGATTTTAGTGCCCGATTTGCGTTTACCGATGCGTATACACATGATCAATTGGGTCGGTTTGGATGAAGCGGGGATTGATGGTGGTGGAATCTTTAGGTAAGTGTTTAAGACAATATTTCAGGTGACTGATGACTCTAATGAGCCAAAAGGTGTTAGAAAGTCTTCAAGGCTTGAATTTGACTTAAAATAAGGTGTTCATGCTACTTGTGACTAGTGACAAGCCTAATTTAGCCAGCTAGAGTCACACGTTCGCTACGAATGCATGTTATCTGCAAGAATATGCGAATTTAGGCTTATTAGAGTCACTTGAACTTACAGTACAACTAATTTTCCTTCTTTTAGAGAGTATTTGTCGGAATTGGCGCGAACGGCTTTCGATCCGGAGAAGGGTTTCTTTCAATACACAGCTGACAGGTTAGCATGAGTCACAGCTTTTTTCAAACAATCCTCTCTTTAGACTACTTTACCCGAATCCGATGGCGTCGAAATTGTACGACAACTATAGCCAACACTTCTACTTTTTGGGAAGAATCATTGCGAAGGTTGAGTTTTTGGGGATTTCCACTTTGAAATTCTTGATTTAGTTGATCTATGAGAAACAACTCGCTGAGATTCGATTCGCCGACTTTTTCCTCGCGCAATTGCTTGGAGCTGAACGGGCGAAAAATGTGGATTTGCATCATATGGTTGGTGAGAGGGATGGGAATGATCTTGGGTCTTGAATGAGTACAAGTCTGGCAGGGATGGTCTGTAAGCCAAAGCCAGATCTAGCCCAAGTAAGGCTAGAAGCTGGTTTTGACCCTGCCTGGCCTGACTTGTCCCAACAAAAATGGCTTTAAAACAACCCTCACTAGGTATTTCCGGTCACCTACAATAAAGCATCTTTTTAGAAATCCTACGATCCAGTTATTTGGCGACAATTGATGCAGTTACGAGAGTATAGTGAGGAAGGAATGCGAGAACTTGAGCTTGACTTCACCATATTGCAAGAGGAACTTGGCGCTGTTTCGGTAAGGGTTTAACTGTGAGGTTAGTCCTTAAGCTTGAGTGAAAAATATTGGATGACGTTAAGGCTTTTTTTTTAGGTAGAGAAATGTTATGCTTAAGTTTTGCAATGAAATATTTTCTTTGATCCTCATTCTTTCAATTTAGAGAAGCGAGTTGATTCCTGGTGGGGCGAGTGTTCGCGTGACGACGGAGAATCGAGACCAATATGTGCAGCTCTACTGTAACTACTCTCTTTACAAGAGGGTGGGTTTTGGTGAATGAACTGATTCTCAAGATCAGGATGACTTCGAGACAACTAATTTGAAGCTGTTTAGATGGAACCAATCGTTGATTCGATGCGAGCTGGTGTCACAAATGTTCTCGACGTACAGCTGTTGGCTATTTTCAGGTTGAAATCAAAATTCCTAAGCTTATAACTCACATTTAGCTCCTCTGAACTGCAATTCATTGTTTCTGGTGCGGATGTGGACATTGATGTGAACGATATGAGACGTTACAGTGTCATTCACAATTTGAACAATGGTTTGAAGACAAAAAAATTATCGTAATTTTCTAGTTTTAGATCGAGACAAAGAGTACATGGACTTGTTTTGGGCAACGGTTTCCTCAATGCCATCAGAAGATAAACGAGCGCTGTTAAAGGTTGGGCTTTAAAGGTTTCTATCTAAAATCTGATTTAGTTCATTACCGGTTGCTCAAGGCCTCCTTTGGATGGCTTTAAAGAATTATATCCGCAAATTGGCATTCAATTGGTTTGTTTTTTTTGAAACATTGCCTTTTATTTTCCTTTTTAGACGAAGAGTGACGGTTTACCCACGTCGGCCACTTGTATGAATCTACTGAAGCTACCGGTGTACAAAAATCTGAAGGAGCTCGGGGAAAAGCTCAAGTGAGTCGACTTTTTATCAAGAGTTAAAGTAGCCTTGGATCATAAATCTCCTTAATTCGCAAATCAAATAGACTTAATCATAGATTACATTACTTAATTAAATCGAAATGTTTTTAAATAGTTTCCCACAGCCAGAAATCAAATAGCCGCCAACACTGCAGCAACCAACATTTTAACACCTAAAAACCTCTCCAGAGACGGAGGCAATTGTCGATCGAGTGTTAACAGCTGTTAATGAGAAAAGTTAAAGTTAAGTCGATTATCCTAGCCTCTGAAAAGACAAGACAGGCCTACTTTTATTAAACTTCCCAAAAAGCTTATCATTTCTTTCCTTTCAGATATGCAATTCATGCGGGTGCCGGCTTCGAACTGTCTTAAATGGGATGGCTCAATTTATATTATTTATCTAATCTTTTCTTTAAAAAGCTTGGAAGTGGGACAAATGCGACCTTTTTTGCGCACCCGGCCGATTAGCGCACCTTTTTTTTCGCGTTTTAAAAAGCTCTAAAAGGCTAATATTAAGCAATTTATTTTCCAAAAGTTGTTTCTCTGGGTAATTTTAGGGCATAGAATTCAAATTTTGACATATCAGTGCTTGTGGAAGCAAACGAACGGAGTTATACATAGGGAAAAATCAAGAGTTTGACCTTCTGTAATTTGACCTACCCGTTTTATCTTTCAAATTGGTTCCACAAGCCCTGATAGGTCAAAATTTGGATTCTACGCCCTAAAATTACCCAGAAAAACAACTTTTGGAATAGAAATTTTTAATATTAGCTTTTTAGAGCTTTTTTGAACGCGAAAAAAGGTGCGCTAATCGGCCGGGTGCGCAAAAAAGGTAGCATTTGTCCCACTCCCAAAAGCTTGCTTTTTTATGTATTTAGTGTATTTTGATGTGTTTGCTGTATGCAAAAATGTATCTATTTTCTTGTGTCTGGTCTTCACAAATACGTGTATGTTTTTTGCCTTTTAAAAGGCAATATCAATAAATCGTTTCCTTACGGCTAGAAATCAAAAATTGCCTGAAAGAGTTTTGCATTTGATAATTAGAAAATTTTCCGACAAAATTAAATATTTCAATGCATTTCTTTACTCTAATCGGTTAGTTTTGAAAGTTTGAAAAAATGAGAGATCTATGACAGTTTATAAGCATTTTTCCAATGTTATCTTGTTCTTGAATCAGGAAATTGTTTGAAAATTCCCTATTAATGCCATTTCTTTAATGTTCATCGGTTTCTTGTTTGCAGCGGATCGAGACGAAGCGAGCGACGATGACTTGTTGTGCGACGATTTCGAGAAGGATCCCAAAGGAGGATTGGTACGAGTGTCTTTTTTTAATCTTGAGCAGGACTGAACAAAAAAAAAAATGGTTTTCCCTGGATTTTCACTTTAACAACTCAAAAAAAACAAAGCCTTAATCGAGAAATTTTTTTTTTTTTTTTTGCAAACAGCTTTTCTAATAGCTTTTCGATCGTTTTTTAATAGTAAAACGACCGTTTTTAAGTCATCTTTTTTAAAAGTTATTCTGTAAATTAACAGAGACAAAGTAGTTTTCAATATTAATTCCCATTACCTATAATCTTTTTTTTTTTTCATTTCAGAAATGCTATCCCATCGACAGGGAACGAATTTCATCGGGGATCTACTGTTGCGATCGCTTGCCATCGGTTGCCAAAAAAAAAGATCAGCTAAACGGTGATTGAGGTGGGTTTTGATTGGGAGAGGATTGGTGAAAGTGAAGGGCATTCAAACTAGGCATTCAGTTCAACAAATCTTGCTTGTTTGCTTGTGCAAAAATGCAAAAACAATCGACAAAATCCTATGGTTTAGCGAAAATTTTAAGGCTAAGTTTGTTGAAAGTTTGACGTTTCTGCTACATGGAAACTTTATTATGATTATCTGGCAAGTTGCCATTGAGTTGGAAATGATATGCACCCGTTTAGTTTTTTTTTTCATTGCCCCACCGCAGATGCTCTGAGAAACCACGGGATGCGCCATCTCCGGACCACATTCGTACATCTGGGCCAACGGAAGCAGTACAATACAAGCGGTACAAGCGGAAAAATGCCCAATTTGCATTTAGATTTGTTCAATTTTTTCCCTGATGTTAGGGAGGACAAACAGCAGAAATACCTCTGACTATCTACGTGAATTTGTTGGAGGCAAGCTCAAGAAGTTTTTCTTTTTTAGTGAAACCTCTTTGGCTACGAATTGCTGAGGATCGTGCAAAGGGGTTCGTGAGATAAAATGAACAATTTCCTTTTAGTTAACAGATTAACAATTTCCTTTTTGGTTCTGTTTTCTTCTTTTTATTTTTGTTTTTTATTATCGAATTATCTGAAATAAATTTTCTTAAAAATGACGGGTAAAAAAAATTTTCGTAAAATGACAGTTTTTCTATCTTGCAATTAAATTTTTTTCTGGTGAACAGGTCAAGTTTTTTTTTTTTTTGAAACGCAGTTTTTGTTTAAGTGTCTAGCTAATTGTAGTAGAAAAATGACTGTACTTTAGTGATATTCTTTGTCAGATTTTCTTTGTCCTTTTATGCTCTTTGAGAACGCTTTACACCCCTGCACACTTTCGGGGACCGGCAGACTACGGTAAATTGTAATTGGTGAAACGGCGGATGATCGAAGGAGACAAAGAGAAACGATTGGCATGGGTTTTTACTACGTCTTTCCCTTTTTTAGATAAAACTTGATTTGAAAATTTTTAGTTGAATTTAAATGATTTTTTTTTTTGTTTGAGATTTTCTTTCTTAAAAATTTCTCTGGTCATATGAGACTTTTGGTGTAAATTGATGGAATCTCTGAATACTATGAATAGATTTTTTAAATGTTCTTACTTTGTCATTACTTTTACCTTTTCTATTTTTCAATATGTTTTCTTTGAAACAGCCTTAAAATGCTAACGTTTAGATAAAATCGCTGCCCGATAAGACGATGAGTGTCGTTTGGTCGATTGCTGGCACCGCGAATCACCCGAAATACTGCCACAACACCACGAACAACACAACCAACACAACCAACACAACCAACAAACCGGTCAACATTTTTCGGGTAATATTTTTGATGTAATATTTTTTTGAGGTAATATTTTTGAGAATAACCCAAAGCAAAGCCTATTTTCTATAGGCTATTAAGCACAACGCTTAGCATCAGTTTCGTTTAAAATATTAATGCTCGTACTTGGTCCCTGGAAAATTAGCATATAAAAATAGGAAAGTGCTCAAAGAAGCTTAGCAAAATCATATAGGTCAAAGCTCTAAACCTAGAGAAATTTTACAGCATTAAAAATTCTCGTTAACTACGTAAAGCTTCTCTAGGCGTGTCATTACTCTATTGAAAGAATTGCTGGTATTTAAATTCAGCGTACTCGACTACTCGAGAATAAATCTCTTTAAACAATTTTCTTTTTTTTTTTTTTTTTTTGAAAATACCGTTTAGCTTCGAAAAATTGGCAACAACATCACACCATCGACGCTCAAACGACCAACGCCTATGGTGCACAATTTAGTGGGTTTACTGATCGAAATACAAAACGAGCGCTTTTAAAAATTATTCTCCACATCCAGTATATTTTTAGAGTTAAAAACAACAACAAAAAAATTCCAGGCAGCGCTAAAAACCACCACCACTACCCCGGAAAACGCCCGGCCGGCGTCGTTTTTCCTTAAACCCGTGAGTTGATGGCAAAATAATACAAACTTAAAAAAATAAAGGCTATCTGGGAGAAATTAGCACGAGTGCAATTAGCTTTAAAAAGTTACATTAACACAACAAATTTCTGACTTTACATTTAAAATTCAAGTAGCATAAAATCGTAAATTTTATGGTACTTTTTTATTAAAATAAGTATTCCCTGGTCAAATCCAACATTTTAACAACGCGAAAATCGTGAAAAATTGCGATTCTAGAGAAAAATCTATGCTTGAGGGATGTTTTTTTAAACAAGGATTGAATTAATTGACTTAAATTGACTTGATTGGCTTAAAATTTCATAAATTAGGCTTTTGATGATGTTTTTTGTTTTTTTTTTTTTCGAATTTCATTAATTTTTATAATGCTTTACTATCATTTTTACTTCTTTCTCATTTTCAGATGTCCATTCTCCGCTTGATGCATCAACACTTGCACAGTACGGTGAAACCGAATCTCGAAGAAACCGATTTCAAGTTGCCTGACGATTTTCTCGTGAAGAAAATGGATACGGAAATGAAAGAGATGAAACCCACACCGATGATCGTCCCGTTGGCATCAATGCGACGACCGGATGGACATGTTTTTGGAGTTGTAAGTGCTTTGATGATTTTTTTTAGTAATCTAGAGATGATTTGCATCAGCTATAATGAAAAGTTAAACGTTAAACGCTAAACGCTAAATGCTAAACGCTAAACGTTAAATGCTAAACGTTAAACGTTAAACGCTAAACGTTAAACGTTAAACGTTAAACGTTAAACGTTAAACGTTAAACGCTAAACGCTAAACGCTAAACGCTAAACGCTAAACGCTAAACGCTAAACGCTAAACGTTAAACGTTAAACCCCTCAAAAGTCTAAATTGGATGCAACTGATTGTTAGTTTGTTAGTTCGACACGCTTCCCATGTAAGCTTTGCTTTTTTTGAACAGTGCAATTGTTGATGTAAACTAGCCAGCTTAATTTTATGCCGCTGAAACTTCTTTTGCGGTAGCTAAATTTGTGTTTTCGTACTCGAAATGCAAAAAAAAATTCAGTAGTTTGCTAAACAAAAACAATGATTTTACATAATTGTTGGTATATTTTTGCTTTTAGAAAGGCATCGTCGCTCCTCGACGTGCTTCAACTGATGTCTATCGACAAAAGGTGCAAAATGTTAAACAAGAGGTATGGTTTTGAATTGTTATAGATTAAAATAGTTCTAACCTTAGGTTTTGTGAAAAAAAACTTTTTTTTAGATAACCTCCACCGACGAAGCGACGACGTTGGAAAGAATTCGCTCGGCTAAGGGGAAAATTCTCGCGATGGATGCAAAAATCGATCAGTTTTCACTGATGTTGAAGGTTAATTTTTGATTTTGCTATTGATTTTGCTTAATTTTAATGCTTTTCTAAGGCAGATTATGTAAAAATAACTACTTGTGCATGTTTAGACGACGATCAAAGATGAAGCAAAGCCGAGCAACATTCTCAGCCGACAATTCGAGCAGATGAGCCCGCCGAGAAAGGTGCAATTCGAGATTTTTTGTGTTTTATGTTAATTTTGCTTTTTTTAGAAACCCTCCCCTTTTTACCGAACTCCACCACCGAACACAGTGCAATGTCAGAATTGTGGAAATCAAGTCGCAAAAGTCGAACTCGTCTATCACAAAGCGAAATGCTCGGAGAAAAATGTGATTTTTGTTTGTGTTATGGTTCTAGGGTTTCGAGACTTCAAGGACGCTTCTACATATATATTTTTGCTCTTGTTTTTCATTTAAAAATCACTTTTGACCAGCTCATTTTGGTGGACTTAATCTGGGCTAATTCTTCAGCCGGTTCTTTAGAAGTATTCATTCAAAATCCCCGAGCCGATGCTTTTTATTGGACTGAATAAACTAAAACCAGATGAAATTATCTCATCAATGTAAACGCCAAATTTATAAAATGCTTTCTAAGCCAAATCGGTAGACATTTACGTTGCTAAGTCGCGGATTGGTTTAAGATCATAAAAGTCAAGGATTTATCCTTTAGTGTAGCTATGATTGACTCTATTTTCTCTATTTTCAGCTCCGTCTCCTCTCGCATCGTCCTTGTCCAAGTTGTGGTCGAATTTTCGTCAAAGAGGCCGATTTTCTTCAGCATGTGCACGAGTGTGATCGAGGATTTTACAAGGTACACCTTGGGGTTGAAAACTTTTAAAAGAATAGCTCAAAACAAAAGGAATTATTAAATATATCTGATATGATAAGAATGAAAAAGTGATAAGCATTAAGCAAATAAAAGGTTTAAAAATTATATCTCTAATGATAAATTTTGGTCCAAGGATGGAAAATATGTTGGAAAATGGCAGCTGAAACGGGCATCAGTGCCGGTGATTCGACAAGTAGTCGACCAGAAAAATGTCGAAGAGGTTGAGGTGAGAATTTTTTTGTTGTTGTGTGAGCTAGATAACTGGCTCGGTGTTGTACAAGGCAACTTATATATATTATTTCTTTTCAGGATCCACTCACGAGCATCTCGGTAACCGAATTGATTTCAAGTTTGTTTTCATTTCATTGTAAACCATATCATTTTTCTTCATTTAGAATTCCGCCAAGATGCACTCAACGCTTTACAGCAACCGGATAGGTAAGCGATGAAAATTTATTATTCGGAGTTTATTTGAAACTTTAGACCACTTCTCTACCCGGATCAGCTTCCATTGCCGGATGAGCAAAACGAGATGCGCTGTGTGGTGACGAAATGCACGGGAATGCTCAAACCGAGAGCTGAAAGGAACAAAGCGGACCTGGGAAAGAGGTGGGAGAAAGGGTTGTGGCTTTGATTTTTAGATTACGAAAACTTTAAAATGAGCTTGGCTTTTTAATCTTTCGAATTTTTCAGATGGCGCTGCAATTCGTGTGGACGTTTCTATCGATACGTGCGAGCTGGCGATGAAAAGTTGATCATGGTGGGTGAATTTTTTTTTCGGTTTTGCTAATAACTTGTAAGATTAACTAGAAAGGCTTGTACTTGACTTGTAAGAACTGTAGAAATTGTTATGTCATTGCTATGATTGACTTGCTAAACTTTTCACTTTCCAGGCAGCCGAATGGGCAAGTCGACGAGCGACTCTTGCTGCTACTGCTTCTTCTTCGGCGGTTTCTTCTCCGTCTTCGGCTTCTTCTACGGCAACTCCTCCCGTCGTGAAGAAGCCAATCATCTCGCAAATCAGTTGGTTTTAGCTTGCTTTGGATACTTGACCCTAGAATATCCTGTAATCTGCCTATTTGTACAATTCACGTGGGAAAAGTGGATAGATTCAGGGCTGCCTTTGGATAGATCAGGGCTGCCTTTCTTGATACCAACCTTTTTGCTTTCAGATTACCGAAAGGCTCCGCCGCCATTCGTGCGCTTGACGAGGACGGTGAAATTGGAGGAAAAAGAGGAGATCAATGTGAGTTTTGAGTTTTGTTTAAAATTTGGAATTCATTTTTCTTCTAGGATCGGGCTCCACTCTTGATGCCCGAAATGGAGACGAAAATGAATGTTGAAGAGGTGGAAGTGAGAAAGGAAAAAGAAGAAGACGATGATACGGATGTGGATGAAGAGGTGGACAGCGAAGAGGAGGAGCTTCGAGAGGTATTGCTGAATGATTTGCATTAGTAAAAGGATTCATAAACTTAGCTGCTTACCGAAATTCTCAACTTTTGCATTAGCTTTAATCTTCTGGCGTACTCAAATCTATACTTTTAAGGGTTTTTAAGCTAAGAATGGACTGTAGATTTATTAATTTATGAGTAGGGGTAAGAGTTACTCTCTTTGGATTTGAAAATGGCACTTCAGTATTGCTCTTTAGTCTGATGACGCCAATCTTCCCCTTTTCAGGTGCAAATGCAACTGCGCAACATGAGCCGTCAACAATCGCTTGCCCGTTCTTGTCAACCATCGCCACTCTCGCTGCAACAGTCGCAACCCGCGTCGCCGCTTCCCATACAGCGTGACTCTCGATCACCAACGCTCATCGCATCAAGTGGAACAGGTACGGATTGGAGATTTGATCATAGAGAAGTAGAGAACTAGTGCATATTGCAGTTATGCAGCTACGGTACGATCTATGATGAGATTATTTCCCTTTCTAGCTTCACCAGTACCGATTGCGATTGTGGGCGGAGATGGGAAAAGGATGAAGATTGAAGAGGATGATTCGTGTTATGTTTCGGTCGAGGAACTCATTCGCAAGGAAAATGAAGAAGCGGGTGAGTTGGGATTGTGGTGAAAAGGGAAGACCCAGAATCAGGACCAAATAACAAGATAATCCAATCGGATTATGATAACCTTTTTGGGAAATGATCTAGTCCAATGTGGAGCGTTCCTCCTCAATCCTTTTCCTAAAACGTGCCCCCCCCTCGCCCCTTTCCCCCGACTGCCTTAATCTTTCCTCTGTTTTTATCCAATCCATCCACTTTTTCTATCTTTCGATATCCTTTGTGAACCATCATAAAATTAGACAAAAAAGTACATTGATTGGATAAAAAAAAAAGACAAGATTACGGTAGAAAGAGAAGCGACACGTTTTAGGAATCTAAAGAGCTTTTTAGGTATTCCTAATATCAAAGATAAGTGTGCTTAGAGAGAGTACTGAAACTGGGCCAATGTATAAATTTTTCAATTTTCAGCTCATCTCTCCGTTTCCAGCTCAAATGGCTTCATTGAATAGCAAAAAAAAGGAAACTTTTGTTTTACGGGAAAATTTGTGATTTCTTGTAAAAACTTGCCTTGTTTCCACACAAAATTCGGGTATTTGAATGTGGTTTTTAAGAATTTAAAGAGTTTGAACGATTTCTAAATTTTTACATCATTGTTAACTTCTAAATAACCACTATTTCTATAGTTGGTGTTTTTTTTTGTTTTAAATTTTATCAATTTCCATATTTGTTTTTCATTGTTTACATTGTTTATAAAGGTTTTTACACACAAATTTTATGGTCTTTTTATTTTTGATTAAATGTCAATTTCGTTTCGTTTCGTTTCATTTCATTTCATTTCTTCTCCATCATTTCCCTCGAATCCGCCGATTTCTCGCCACTCTCGTGGCGCCAAATAGGAGAACGGAGATCTGGAAAATTTGCGGATTTATGGGGTTAATAATTTGTTTCGTTTTTAAAGAATATGATGAAAACTAGACTCTAACTATATTATAGCTATTGAGAATTGTAAAGCTTTGGGTATTTGCTGTTTGACTGCTTGACTGCAACTGCAACTGCCTGACTTGTACACACCTGACATCTATCTGATAAGACTAAGCCTAGCTTCCTTTAACAATAAGAAGATGCATATGAAAAAAACCTCTTTGGTGGTCGGTAATTGTAGACGGGATTGTGACTGCCGAAGAAAAGAGCTGAATTGGTGGCGATGAGGAGAAATGAGAGAATCAAAAGGAAACGGAGGAAAAGCGAGCGAGGCATTTGTGCACGGAAATCGATGAGATCTAGAAAAGGTTTGATTTGTCTTTAGATTATATTTTAAAGTAAAAGAACTTTGAATTATATGAATATTATAAAAAATTCAAGATCAATCAAAGTTTTTTTGAAAAATTCAAAAAAGATTTACAAATGATTTACAAGAAAATTCAAAAGTTTTTGCTTTTTGCTTTTTTTTTGCAAATCAAATTTGCTAAACTGAGTATTTGAAAAGGATTTGTTTAAAAGAAAGAAAGTCTTTTTTTTTTTTTTAGTTCAAATTAATTTACCTAGAGAAAAATTTGAAAAGAATTTAAAAAAAAAAAAAAAAAAAAAAAAAAGTTTTCTTTTCAAGAAATGATGAGGATTATTTTTGTGTGTAAATAAGAAATTTATGAAAACAACATACCGTAATAAATACTGTAATAGTACCCCACCGCCCATAATGACGGTGCGGAGCGTCGCGTAGTCTAGCTTTCGACGCGCTTTTCTCTCGACTGGTTTATGCTACGATGTGCGCTTTGATATCAAAAAATAGCCCTGAATTTCAGCTATTTTTTGATACCAAAAACGCATTTTTGTGAAAGTACGGGTGCTTTGAAATACGAAAAATGAAATACTACAAAACTTTTGCGACTACGCGACTGTACGAGAGGGGAGTGGGGGTACTATTACATAGTATTTACGGTATATTATTCAAGCAATCTTCAACCCAACGCTACGAATCTTACAACAAACGAGGAGACTTTTGTGTCCTCATTTGTAGGATCGTTGCAGATTTATTGGGATCCATTAATCTCGGATCCCGATAACTGGCAAAAGAGAAGTTCAATCTCTCAATTCGGGCACCAATTTGGATGGAAGAAGGTGGGCTTTCCATTATTTCAGCTATTTTTTGATAACAAAAAAATGGTATCAAAAGTTTTTTAGTAAAACAAATTGTTATTTTTAGAAATATATAGAGATTGTTTCTTGAAATGAAGTAATTATATAAATGTCGTAACCGTTTACGAAATTCAGCCACTAACGAATGATTCGTTAGCGGCTAGCGGCTTACGAATGATTCGTTAGTAGCTAGCGAAAAATTTCATTCGTAAACGGCTAAGACATAAAGTCAGCGAAAAAAGCCTTGCACCATTGAAAACTTGTTGGCAACTAATTCTACCATTGTGGTCTAGTTTCCGAATATATTCGGAAACTAGACTAGAACTAGACTAGAACTAGACTAGAACTAGACTAGAACTAGACTCGGAAACTAGAAATATAAAACTTTTTATTTTTGTTTTCTGACTTTGTTTTTTGTGCATTAATTAATTTTTTTTTTTAGATGCCCTGCGAGCGATATCTGGACACTCTAATTCTACCATTGTGGACTAAGGAGAACATTGTCAAAGCCCGTCAAGGAGGGATGAAAGTGAAAGCCATTTGTGATCTCTTTTATCGTTGATCGCTCTACCGTTTCCAGGCTTTGTAAACGAAAAAAACTCGAGGGAAATGTGCAACGACATTCAAAAAGTGGTCGTCGACCTAAAACAACAATCAGACAGGACCGTTCATTGATCGGGATGTTCTTAAAGGATCCAAACAGGACGAGTACCGACGGTGCCAAATTGCTTCAATCCTTGCTTTGGGCTTGGAGTAACCGCCCAAACAATTCGAAACCGGCTCAAATCGATTCGATTTTTTTGCTCGACGACCAGCACGAAAGCCTCTAGTAGTAGTATAATGGGTCACGCTAGCGCACCCTTTCACCCTCTGCGTAAAAAAAAAAAAAAAAAAACAAAAAAGACGTCTTTTTCACCGAAAAATGACTAAATTTTGTAAGTTTAAGCATGATTTTACGTGTTTTTCAATTTTTGGGTGAGTTTAGAAAAACAATTTCTAGCGCACCAACCACCCATAACAGGGTGTTTTCCATTTTTCGCCGTTTTTAGCGTTTTTTTTTTTTTTTGACGCCTTATCAATGATTTTGATGCTCTAACAAACCAAAAATCAACAGTTATAGCAAGTTTCCGGATTTTAAAGAATTCTGGTGGTAGTAACACACGAGTCACAAATTGCGCTAACAGAATTTAAGCCTTGTAAGAAAAAAAAAAATCAAAAATTTCCGCGGTGTTTTATGTGTTTATAATAACTAAATTCAAATGATAAAACAATTTATTATATCAAACTTTTACACATTTAAGTTTTAGTTAGGTAGTTAAGGAAACCGGGAAGGCAAAAGGATTTCTGTGTAAAAGCTAGAACCATCGATGCTAATTTTGATAAATCTCAGTTGATTTTAAGTAGAATTTCGAAAATTTCCATATGAAACACGCCAGAAATACTGGGGAAAAAAAATCATTTTCATTTTCTCCCTTTGTTTGTTTCCGAATTGTCGGGTTCCCCTTGTTGTTAAGTTTTGCTTTTTGTTGTCATAAAATTTACGTCCTTTTACTTCATTTTCTAAAGCACGCACAGTATTACGCCAATTAGAAGTAATAATTCTACTAAGTTGCGGTGCACTCTAACTGTGCTAATTTTTTTCCGGAAATGGGCGCTTTTTCTTTCTTTCTTTCTTTCTTTCTATCTTTTCCTATCTTAAAGAGTTTGTGTAAACAATTAATTCTTTATTTTCAGATACCTCGAAATCTCGAAATGGCTAATACCATCCGTATTAAAATGATGGACAAGGAGGTGGAAATAGATTTGTCGAGCAATGTTTTGACTCAGAGCACCGTCAAAAGCCAGTTTCTGCTTCCTTTGGATGCAGTTGTTTCGTTGAGCTATGAAGTTAACGGTCGTCAGAAAGGATGCGAGTAAGTCATATTTTGAATTATTTCTGCTTTATTTCAATTAATTTAGAGTGAATGAAGCCGGCACGACGTTTTTGCTTCCGGATGGATGGCCCGCTATCCAGTTTTTCGTTGACTCGAATAAGGCACCTTCGCGCCGGGAAACTCCTGCTGATATCGAAGGTTTGTATGATTTACAATTGAATTTATTATCTTTCATTAACAACTTTAGTTTGTATGTTTTTATACGAAAAGGATTTTTACTTAAATATTCATTTTAGCACAATTTTCGGACTACAAACGGGATCCTGAATCGCCCTACGTTATTGATGGTATTACATTTTAAATAGTCTAACAATTTATTGCTGGTTTTTAGAGAAACTGGCGAGCGAACTTTGCAACCGGCTCTTCTTTGCTCCTCGAGGACAAAAAGCTCTACGAGGTCCTTACGAGGAAACTTTTGCTGTAAAAGATGGTGTCATTGACGGTGGTTGCGTTTCCCCAATTTCACCGAGAGCTGCTGTGACATTCGCACACAAATCGCATGGAATTCTTCGCGAGTATGACGAAGGACAAGATGATGAAATTAACCAGCACAGCCTTGTGGAAATAAGAAACTGCCAAAATCACAATATTCGACACATCATGAAGGTATCTTTGGGAGAAATTTTTTGTAATTAATTCAATATATTGTAGGTGATTGTCGTCGACGCTCATCATGACTTTGTATTACTTTTCTCATTGAACGGAAGCACGATTTTTGAGGATTATCCGCATGCAGCGCGTCCCCCTAGAAATTTCGAATGGTTTCTTGGATTTGGTCTAAGTCATGAAACGGAAGATGGACAGCAAATGACTCATCGAACTGGCCGGATCTGTTCTATCAACGTGGACTACAGAGGACGTTTGTTGGCAAGTTCTTCGATTGATGGTGGTGACTCCGGAGGGCCATGTTACTCTGCTGATCGCGCTCTTATCGGGATTATGGTATCTTCGACAACAACAAGCCCGAGACTCACCGCGGAATATGATCATGACATCATTGAAGAGGAAATCGCAGACGCTTCTTCTAATCCAGCCGATACGTGGATTTCTCCTGGACATCTTATCTGGGGAGCCTATCAAGTAATTTATTTTGAAACTTATAAATTCACATATAATATTTTTAGAAGTATCTCGTGCAGCATGGCTTTCTACAACCTCGTGCAGAAAGGGAGTTAGGTGGACGGAAACCAAAGCGTCGAGCCATCGCCAAATTAAATGTGTAAAAGTTTGATATAATAAATTGTTTTATCATTTGAATTTAGTTATTATAAACACATAAAACACCGCGGAAATTTTTGATTTTTTTTTTCTTACAAGGCTTAAATTCTGTTAGCGCAATTTGTGACTCGTGTGTTACTACCACCAGAATTCTTTAAAATCCGGAAACTTGCTATAACTGTTGATTTTTGGTTTGTTAGAGCATCAAAATCATTGATAAGGCGTCAAAAAAAAAAAAAAACGCTAAAAACGGCGAAAAATGGAAAACACCCTTTAGCAAGTACATCATAGAATGAAAATGCATAGAAAAAGTAAAATCCCAATAGATTCATGCAATTTTGACTTCTAAATATTGACTTGATAATAATTGAATAATTCCAATTAATTTCAAACAAATAACTTTGTATTTAATATTAGAAAAAAATATTCTAAATAAATTAAAAGTAAAGGATCTCCTGTGAAAATGTCCAGAAGCAATTGATAGAATACTCATTGTTGACAATCCTATTGTGAGCGATACATCTATTCAAAAAGAGAATCTGATTAGCATATTTCCTTCGTCAGGTTCGAGTTTGAATCAACATGGAGAAATGAATTTTATTATAGAAACTTGTGATCAGTATCTACTATTACACAAATCTTACATCTATTAGGTTGGCAACTAAATAATGGCCCTCGCCCTTTTTTGATAAAGTCTTTTAATCTTTGCGTTTAATCTACCCTCGCTTGTTGTTAATTGAATATTACTGAATTTCTGGTGCATTATTATACGTTTTTTACTTTCCTTGATTTGATACTTTTCAAATAATTTTGTTTAGAAATGGAAGATCTCAAATATCGAATGCGTGTCTGTCTCTGGTACGACTACAAACAAGACAAAACAGCTGCCGAATCCTACAGAGATTTATTGCGAGTTTTTGGTGATGAAGCTCTTTCCGAAACACAATGTAAGAGATGGTATCGACGGTTCAAGGAAGGGGATGAACGTCTTGAAGATGAGCCTCGCCAAGGACGACCCGAACTTCTGCAGAACGATATTTTGGAAGCAGCTTTAAAGGAGGATCAAGTCAAACATCCGCGAGCTAGGGGATCGATTGGGCTTTTCGCATACTGCAATCGAAAAGCGACTCATGCATTGGGGAAAAGTAACCGCAGTGGAAAGTGGATTCCGCATGAATTGAGAGAAGAAAATAAGGCTACTCGTGTTATCACAGCTGGAATACTACTAAAACTTGCGAAAAAGGGAAGCTTCTTGGATTCCATTGTCACTTCTGATGAAAAATGGATCTTTTATGATAATCGAACGCGAAAACGACAGTGGCTTAGCACAAACGAAGACCCAAAACCAACTCCGAAGCCGGATATTCACTCAAAGAAAACTCTCCTCTGTGTGTGGTGGAGTTCTCATGGGTTGGTGCATTTCGAGGTTCTCAAAAGCCGGCAAACGGTTAATTCAGAACTCTATTCGTCTCAACTACATCGTGTAGATCAAGCAATTCGCTCTCAAGGACTCGAACCCTCTTCAATTCATTTTCTCCATGATAACGCAAAACCACACACTGCAAAAATTACAATGGAGAAAATCGAGGAGTTGGGCTGGAATGTTCTGTGCCATTATTTAGTTGCCAACCTGATATTTAGAAGCAAGTTTAACTAAAATTGATGGTACTGCATTAGCTGATGATGATGAAGTCTCATTGACTAATAATGCTGCAATGTTTCTATTTGACAGAGCAACTTATAGTATGGATGGGATGCAAGTTGAAAATATTATAGATCCTGGAAGAGCTAGCTTGATGAAAGGACTTTTAACGTATTCTTCGACGATCAACAAACAAAATACTTTTGGTTGGATTTTAGAAACGAAAGATATTATTACTTATAAAATGAACAAATACACCAAGAATAGAAAAGGGGCTCTCACTTTTTGCATCCCATTGACACACGTTTTCGGATTCGCAGAATGTTACAACAGAATAATTTATGGAAGAAAACACACACTCTAAGTCTTTACAGATCACCCGAAAACATAAAACTCAATTGTTTCTATTGATCCTGCAGAATTTACCGCAAAGATGACAATAAATAAATTACAGTGGATTATTCCAAAAATTGTGCCTAGCCTTGAGATGCAAAATAAGTTTTATTAAACACCTTTGAAAGTATTGGGTTGATGCATAATTATCCGGACTTCTTTTTGCGTGCTTGTATCTTTTTTGTTTTGAAAGCTTTTTGTCTATTTCTTTTTTTTAAATATTCGTTATTCTTTAGTGAACAAAATGCGTGTCGACAATCATATCCATCTTCGCCATATCATGCTCTACCACTTCGAAAAGGGATGGTCTGCCGCAGAGTCGTTTCGCGATCTCAAAGAACTTTTTGGTCAAGGAACAATTGGACGTGCAACAGTTTATGAATGGTTCGATCGTTTCAAGTCCGGTAACACAAGTGTTGATGATGAACCAGGAAGAGGACGGCCATTCAATTCGATGACAAGGCACTTCTGGAAGCCGTTGAAGAAGACGAAAGCCTGACAACCAGAATGCTGGCAGATGAATTCAATGTTGACCAGTCAACGATCGTGCGCCATCTCAAAAAGCTTGGCAAAGGCACGACATGGCACGTTGAGCGCCATGTCGTCGAATCCATCGCTAGTAAGGGCTGGGATCTTCTTCCACACCCGCCATATTCTCCTACTGAAGCCCCAACGGACTACCACGTCAATCGATCGCTCAAAAATTGGCAAACAAATAAGATCTACAACGATTTGGATGACTTGATAGACGATGTTAAAGCGTGGATTGCCTCCAAAGATCGTTTATTCTTCGCTCGTGGAATCGATCGTCTTCCAAGCAAATGGCAATCAGTTATTGATGTAGGCGGTGAATATGCTCCAGAATAATCAATTAAACATATTTTTCTAACTATTTATGTTATTTTTTGTTAAATAAAATCATTTATAAAAGAAGTCCGGATAATTATGCATCAACCCAATAATAAACTTCTCCAAATGCCTTTCATCTCAAGACAATTTGAGAGTTATAATATTCCAAATGGGAATCGTGAATTTACTTGGAAACTTGGAACGAAATATGATAAAATAAAATACCTTGTCATTTCTTTTCAAACTGCTAGAGATAATCATTATTTAAATGCTGCCAAGTTTGACAATTGTGGATTAGAAGAAATTTGTTGTTGAACTAAACTCCGAGCGTTATCCATATCAATGTTTAAAGTTTGACTTTGATAAATTCAATGCAGTTCAGCAATACAATTTCGCTAAAGAATTCAGAAATAGTTATTTACGAATCAGTGAAAGATTATATTTTCATGGAAGAAGATGTATATTATTATTATTATTATCCGTTGTTAGTTTTCGATTTTTCTAAGCAAAATGACAGAATCATCCAAAGCAGACCTGATGTTACCATAAAGGCAAGTTTTAGTCAAAATATTGTTCAAAGTAGCGTCACCCATTATACTACTACTGCCTCTAATGGTTTTGAGACATCGGCGATTGAGATTCGCCTTCGCAAAGACGTACAAACATTGGACGGTCGACGTTTGGAAGAAGGTACTATATGGAGTGACGAGACGAAGATCAATATATTCAATCCGGACGATGGTCAAATGATTCGTCGGCCTGTTGGAACACGCTATAAACTCAAGTATATGCGTCCTACAGTCAAATTCAACGGTGGAGGAATCATGGTTTGGAGTTAGTAAATGTTTTTTAGATTGTGTCTAATTCTGTCTATATTTAGGTTGGATGTCATCGTCCGACGTTGAGCATCGATAATTCGATGTTGAGTCCGATTCGTCCGACGTTGAGCACTATAGACGTCCGCTAGTCTTGATAGACGGAATTATAGATGTTCACAAGTACAAGGACAGATTGGAGACACATATGCTACCTCGTGCACAAGCGAAAATGGGACAGGGATGGTTATTGATGCAAGATGGAGACCCGAAGTCAGCTTATGATGCACACAAGTCAGCTTGTGATCGTTGATTCGTCGATTGACGTCAATTGAAGATTCGACGGGGGTTTTTTTGTGAGGATGCCCGGCTGGTTTCATCTTGTTCTCTGGAATGGAGTGGAATTGCTTCGAACACCACCTTACAGCCCATCAACCCCATCAACCCCATCGACCCCATCAACCCATCAACCCCATTGAACATTTGTGCTCGTTTTTTAAACGGAAACTCAAAGAACAAAAATTTCGAAATAAAGCTGAACTATGGGGCCATGTGGAACAAGTATGGAAGAATGGAAGAATGGAAGACGATCTCTCAACATGTTTTGCACAAATTGATCGCATCGATGCCCAGAAGACTACAAAAGTACAAAAGTGGTGAATTTGAAAACTGCGGGATCGTCTAAGATTTAAACCCTAACCAATCGGCTCGAGGAATGACACAGAAAATGGGTCTGAAGAGAAGCTCCGTCAACACAATCATCAAGAAAAAGCTGAATTTATTGAGTTGATCAATTTGAAAACTGCGGGACTTTTGAACTAAAATTTATTCAGCATAAAACCCATGAATTGATTCGAAATAATTTCCATTATTATTGACGACTTCTGCCCATTTTACAGGCAATTTGCGGTTTCCTCTTTCGTGGTAGGATTTTGGTTTGTGTGTGAGACTCAAAAATGGAGGAATGTCCCAGTTTGAGCACTTTCTTCAAAAGAAACCCACTTTGGTGTCAATGGAAAAGTTGTAGAGAATCAAAAATCAAGCTTATAGCCAAATTTCCAAAAAGATACACTTAGTAGTTTCGCTTAAAATGAAAGTTTTGTGAAAGTTTCGTAAATTTGGCATTTCTTGAAAACCAGTTTTTTGAATCGTTCTGAAAATTTGGATATAAGCTTGATTTTTGATTCTCTACAACTTTTCCATTGACACCAAAGTGGGTTTCTTTTGAAGAAAGTGCTCAAACTGTCACACATGACAATAGCCCGCAGTTTTCAATTCACCAATCCAATAGATTGAGTTTAGC